GTACGATGTCACTGCACGGCAGATTCAGGAGTTACAAGTGGTATGCCCCCCCCTCCCCACCCCCCATATGGGACCTGTCTGCTTTCTGATGCCATGTGTTTGTAGAAATCCGAGGCAGGGTCCTTCACTGAGGCCTCCTCTACCTCCCTTTAACCCCTATGACCTCAACAATTTCTGCTGTATTTTTTTCCAATCTATATCCTCCTGAGACCCGACCCATTCATTTATGTCCATTGTAGTGGACATTTTGTTTTTGCATCTATCTTTTCACTGATGTAAGGAAACGTATTTATTCTTGTTGTACACTAAAGAGGACATGCTGTGAAATTAAAAATAAAAATAAATTGTAAGATGTCTTATTTCCTCCAAACACAAATAACCTATAATTGAAGGACACTTTTTTCCTTGGGTCTCAGGAGGATATTGACTATAACGCATCGTATAGAGCAGCATTTCCCAACCCAGTCCTTTGGTACCCTGCCAGACACTCCACATTTTTTCTCATTCCTACTGGGAGCTGGGAGGGAGCCAAATGGGACTGTCTTTGGATCCCTGAGGACTGGGATGAGAAACACTGGTATAGTAAATCTCTGCACATGGCCCCTCTTAGCCTGATCTTATTCCCAACATGTCTGCCGTCACTGAGACCACCTTCTCAGCTTTTATCCCCTTAATGCCCCCCGACCTCACTAAACCCCCCCCTTCCATTTCTCCCCAATTACCTCATCCTACCTTTGTTGCTTGATCCATGGGTCTACAAGCTCCACCAAGCTAATCAATATGCAGCTAATGCTGCTTCAGCCTGCACTGCACATCAACCAGGGCTAAAGGATTTGTGGCTTTGGCCCCCACTTTTGGAATTCGGGGTCTCTCCCTGGGGCTCCAGCTAGGCAGCCGCGGCGCCACTCCCCACCACGGCGCCCGTCCCGCTAGGACGGTGCTTCTCGCTCCGCGTTACAGTCAATAGCTCATGTTTTGAGTCTGCGGCTGCCATGATGAGCAGAGCCAAACCCACAGCCCCAAAGATGCAGATCCAATACCAACAAGAGAGTTTCAGCCAGTCTGCAGAAAAGTGGAGTTTTTCTAGGTCTGGTTTCTGTTTCCTCGCTGTCTAACAGATACTCAACGCCGACATCTGAGCCACTGCTGATCCCCGGAGTTGAATTAATTCTGACCTTTGGTGTAAATTTGTTGTTCTGGCAACCTGCAGGTGGTTGGCTAGTTAAACACCTGTGATCTAATCATTAAGGAGCTAAATTTACATATTAAATATCACACATTGAAAAAAAAATCCATGATGAAAGGTGATGATGAAAGGTGAAAGTGTCATCGCATCAAATCAATGTCACCAGAAGATAGTCTAATCTGGAGCAATTATACTTCCCAAGCAATCAGCTTTCTAGCAACACAAAACCTCACTGTCCCTTTTTCATTTTTTTGCGGTGGGCCCAACTTTCTTGCACTGAACACCCTCAGCCACGTCCATCTCCTTCATCTACATCTTTCCATGCACTACTTTAATCCAACACCTCCTACTGTTCCCTCTAAGAGCCGCAGTCAGTGGCAGGTCAGGTCTCTGCGACTGTCCATCTATCTCTCTCTCAGCATTTAGCACGAATCAATAGACAAGATATAATATTTCCTCGCAGATACATTACATCTGTCAAAGTGATTCATATTCTTTCGCCCACATGAAATGGGTTTTAATACCTGAATGACTTCCATTACTGGCAGTCCAGGAGAGCCCAGCCTGAATATAATTACAAACAACACCTTAATGCAGGGCGTTGTGGATTAAAACAGTAGATCGGTGCACTCTCTCTCTCTCTCTCTCTCTACGCCTCCCGTTCTTCATCGGCATAGCGAAGCGGGGGATGAATCGGACGTGGGAGACAAGCCTTTGCGCGTAGCGTGGTCGGCGGAGAGCTTTTTTTTCTGAGGGTGCGGTCCCGGGTGGTAGGATCTTGACATGTTGAAGTTCGGGGTGGCTGCTCAGAGGAGGCATGCGAGAGGCGGTGGGATGCACATCAGAAGCAACAGCAATCACCTGGGGGTCTAACGGGACAGCCACTGCAATCTAATTCAGTCTTTTCCCGCTGCCCCCCCCATCTCCTCCTCTCTCTCTTTTCCTCGCTCTCTCTTCATTGATGTTATTTTTGCGGCCTCTGCCGCCATCTCGCAAGCGACAAATGTGCATCCTTGACAAAATAAAGTGACAGGCGTGGGGAGCTTCATACACCCCGGACCGGGTGATTCAGGAGAGGCAAACAAAGTCGTGCAGTTTTTGGAAAGACATTCCTCAGGGGGGTTAAACCGGGGGGGGGAGGGGCATTCCATTGCCCCTGACAAGGGTGTTTGTGATCAAGGAACGATGATGGAAAATGCGATATCATTAAAGGCATCTATGCAGTAGCAGCACCAATGAATGATGGCTCAGTGGTCAGTACGGTGGCCTTGCCCCACTAAGGCTGCAGGTTTGATTCCAGATCCCAGTTGCATGTAGTTGATTTTATGTTCTCTGTGTGTTTGCTTGGGGAGCCTCCAGTCACTGCAGCTTTCTCCTGCAGTCCAAAGTCATGTGGTTTGGTTTTTGTAGTAAGTACTTTTGTGTGAGTCCTACAACAGATCGGCATCCAGAGTTTCTGCTACCCTGTACCCAGTGCTTCCTGGAAGAGGCTCCAGACTAACCACAGCGCTGTATTTAAGGAAATTGTATGCATAATAATAACTACAATGAAAACCTTAAGCTCTGCATATCAGTGTTTCCCAATCCAGTTCTCGAGGACCCACAACTGCTCCACATTTTTGCTCCCTCTTAGCTCCCTGCCAGACAGTCCACATTTGGGAGCAAAAACGTGGACCGTCTGTGGGCCCCCGAGGATCAGATTGGGAAACACTGCTGTATATAATTTTGAAGACACCACATTGTATTGCCTTCCACACGTGTATTTGCATCTGAGTCTTTCCTGGGGCATTGATTCAGAAGAAAACCACTTCAGAGAAGGGAATGTGCTGACTAACAAGCACAGCGGCCTGTTCCGCATCATTTCAAATTGGGGAAACCTTGCTCACGTCACCACAAGAGGACCAAAAAAAAAGACGAAACAGATCCTTCGACTAACTTCCTGCTCCCAGTAGAAAGTTCGGAGAAACTCGGTAACAAACTGAATAAAGTCAGTGAAGATGCTCCAGCTAACAGCAGGTGAAAGTAAAAATTACGAAGGACAGTCACCTACTGTATGATGGTGGCAGCGTGAAAGTCCGAAGCAGAGTGCCATAAGTGTCCTCCTCTACTGCGTAATGGCACGAAATAAGACGGTAACACCTTTTAGCAGAGGTGCACTGGTGGACACCAGAAGATAAAGAGGCATAAACCAGCCAACACTTTTTTAGAGGTGGAAGGAGAGGAACAGCAGATGAAACAGCCCTGCTCTCTTCAAGGACGCGGTCGGCAGGCTATGTATCCATTAGGTGTTGCTGCTGGAACACGGTGCCATATTTACATTTAATTTTCCTCAATCAGGATGGCAGGGCAGGGGGGCACTGTAATGAGCCTTTGGGCCAAGAGACCGTTGCCTCTGCCCTCTGTGCAAATGGTGCCTCACGTGGTACTGCCACCCGCCATGTGGTTGCCTCGTCTTGTCGGGAACCACAATAGAGCACAAATTTATTTTTCGATAAGAACTGAAAATGACTCCAAATGATCATAGACCCCCTGTGACATCGCTGGATGAGGCTCGGCCTTCTGTTAAAGTTAAAAGCATCTATGCACAGCCGGCTCCCAGGCGTGGCCAGTTTTCATTCATTCGAGGAATGATCTTTTTTTACTTACTTGAACTTCCTCTTCTCAGGATCTCACCTCCTCATCATTTCTTTTCCCTCCAAAGTAACCTCGTCGGCTTCACAGTCCTCTGTGATGTCGGCTGGGTTCAACAAAACTTCACTGACTTTACTGTGGTCCAACTTGTATCAATCAACCAGACTTATTGACTTCATCGAGCACACTGAAGCTAGGTCTGGAGAGGCCATAAACAACAAAAGCTAGTGCAAGCAACTTAGTGTTGACTCGCTAGCATGAGGTAGCTTGCTGCTGTGGGTTTTTTATACCGCTATTGGACATCTTAGAGCGGCATTAAGTGGATATGACATGCCAAAGGTTCACATGCATGCCGTGTGCTTGGTAGGATAGAAAAACGGAAGGAAAAGAGAGGAGCCAGAACTGCATGGTTTGAAGTACAGGTTCAGTTAAATCAAACGTGCTTGTCGAGGGATTAGCCACAGCACCAGGCCAGCTCAAGTTAATCCAACAAAATCCCGGCCCTGGGTTAACCTCCCTCTGTTCCCCAGCTCTCTGCCTTCACTGATGCCGAGGTACAATACAGCAAACCATCGCCATGCTCCTGGGACTCCCACAGTAGTCAAAAACTGCAGGCCAGCAGAGCTCTGTCAGTCCACAAACAAGGTCTGCCACAAGGTGGAGGAAGCTCCTTCTGACAGACTGTGTTTTGTCTTCTCAGAGTGAGCAAGTCTTGACCCGAGCATGAGGCCTACTGTCAGTACCAAGAGATTCCCTGACTGGTACATCCCTCTTCTGATGGCATGAATAAAGCATGAGTAACTGGGGGGAGGGCGGTGTCAGGGGGGCTCATGGCTTCATGCATTAATGGACCAAGAAAGGCATGGACTAGACGGCAGTTGGCCAGGAATTGGCCACAAGCCATTTGAAAAACAATGGGGAACAATCTCCCTGAGCATGCAAAACCTCCTCATCTCCATGGTAGACTTTTGACAAGACGGAGTTACAGGTGATCCCAAGGCTCATGAAACCCTCAACCTGAAAGGCCAGAAGCAGTGTAGGTCATCTCAGCAGGCAACGGTACTAAGTACCTACTGGAAGCTGACCACCCTCAGAGTAGACAATTCTAGTCCCCAAATTCCCCCAGCCGCCAAGAACCTTCAAACACCTCTGTGCATGAAGGTATGGTCCTGTTGACTCTTACCTAATTTGGGGAGTGAGTATTTTACTTTGAAGTACTCTTCATAAAACTGCAGCAGCCTCTTGGTGATCTGAAGTGCGTAGTCTCCTGATCCTCTCTGGATGGCATTGGGTCTGCCATAGAGTCGTATCTTCAAAGACAAAATGGGGAAAGAAAGAGGGCGCAATAGATATGTTACTGTTTATTAAGTACCTTGAAGTATCGCTGCTTGCCACATTCATTACCTATAGTCACTAAAATGTACATAATTTTGTATAACTATAATGCAGTGAGTGGTAAGTGAGACGTGTTCCCACCAAGGTTGATCTGAACTCCCTTAAGGCAGCCCTGTTCCATAGTTTGAAGTGCATCTCAACACACAAGCCACGCGCATTAAGTCACGAGTTATCATTTTCCCTCCATTTGCTGCCTCGGCACAAAAAATATGTGCTAAATTAAAAGATAGAATTGTTTTACTAAGGGGAGTAAATTAACAGTTTGCCCACGTTAATGCATGTTAATCAGTCAAAGAGAAACACGCACTATGATATGGATATCAACAACATTTAAGAGCTATTGAGAGTGAAAGGGGATATTTTAAGTACTCGTGGTATCTTAACAAAGCCTGACTGGAATTTTAAACTCTGCTAATCTAATTTGAATGGGTTCCCCGGAAAATATCAGGCACTTAATGACAGTATATGCAAAGCACCAACATGAAAAAGACTCCTTATCCTTAACAGAACAACGTGGGGATTTTCACTTACTCAAGGTCACTGAAATGTTTCGAAAACCAGTGATAAGATTAAGCGCTTCAAAAAATCCTGAAATGCACTGACAACACTCTGAAGCCAAAGTACCTGGGTGATATGAAATCATACTGCAAATATGATGCCGTGTCAACTCGTTAGATTCTTAATGACATATGATAGACTTGAGGTGTTTGTAGGAACTGTGTACATACTTCAAAGTGTTTGTCATTCCGAGTTTCACGTAAGATTCACACAACTCTGTTGAAGTCTGAAGTGCTGAAAAATGCACAATTTTGATGAGACACTTGTACAGTAATAATACACTGCGGCTCCACTGAGCTTTAAGTCTCTGCTATCCCCTTATTTTGCCAATTCTTCTGTACTGATTATGCTGATGGTTGAAACTATTACAAGTTTTCAGCCACAAAAAGGTCACAGGGTAGAATATTCACCTCAGGTACGAATACAGAAGCAACACTGTCATCCTGTTTGGGTGCAATGTAACCCGGGAGGTCAATACATTATTATCCAAATTTGATCATTTTATAAGCACAGTACAACAGAGTGTATGGCAGTGATCAGTGAATGATATTTTCTGTCTCTTGGTTTTTAGAACTTTAATTGGGTGTCTGTACTGACAGACATGCTCATTAGTGATGTCCAGAGGAGGCAATGTCCTGTGTGTTCTCCACTGATGTGAGGTTTTCTGCACTCGTGCCAAGTTCCCACTGAAGAATCTGGCACTGAATATCCGTAGAGAAAAACACGTGTGCGCCTGAAGCAAAAGTAGTAGCCTAGGGTAAGTATGCATGACATCAAAGCTTTTTAGTGGACAGGCACTCACAGAACAACAAGACACAAATGGAACATCATATATGTAGTGTAGCATCAAGTCCAAAATCCAGTTACTTGTCACAAGCGTGGTCATTCTCCAGATGACCCTTATGTATGATCATCCACAAACGCATTGAGTGTATTTAAACGGAGTCTGGGTAAATGTATCATTTATCAGTCTCAAGGTTTGGTTTTCCTACTCATTATTACAGGCTGTTCTGTTGTTCTGGCTTTTCGGGCTTTTGAATCTGTTTTTGATTGAATATCTGGTTTGGTTTGATTCTATGATTTGGGTTTCTTTGATTGGTTCTAACTTTTGGTTCATTCTCTGCTTTCTGGCTTTGCTCTGAGTCGTGGCCCCTTGTTGCTGATCACCCAATCTTTTAGTTCCACAGATTCGTCTTTGGTGATACTCTTATCAACCAGACATGAGTCCTGCTTCACTACCTCAGATGCATCCCCAGTCCTGTCAGTGGCGAGTGCTGTACTGAATTCTGAGTATTCACCTGCCAAGGAAGAAAGGATTGACAGGCAGAATAGCCAGCCATGGGGCATGACCTCGTTATTAAAGTTATATATTCTCTAACTCAGCCCCGGTGTCATAACGTGTAGCTCTGCAAACACACCGGCAACAGGCCAGGAAAGGATGACAACTAATGAATTTAAAAGCGGCTGACCACTGGAGCTCACTGTCCGAAATGCATCAGCACAAGATGAGCACCAACCACTAGAGGCAAAAGATTGACTGACCAATCAATAAAGAGATATTAAACTGCATGAGAACAGCACCAGAGCTGCAATTCCTCTTCAGATCCACACGAATGGATCCACTTGGGCTATCAGACGATTGCGTTTCATTTCCCACATGCACGTTCGGCTCTAGGTGAGTTTGCGAGTCTGCCGCTTCTGTGCCACTGGGACACTTGTGGTGACAGGTAAATGTTTTAGCAACTTTGCCAGGCAATTTACATAAGAGAACACTGCCAAGAGTTGCCCCAAGCTTTCAGGAAGAGAGATAGCGGGAGAAGCTGCTACTTCAAAGAGCCAGGTAATTGTTCAGGGGAAGAAGAAAGTTTTTTGTGTGTTCATGAGACTGTAGGATGGATCCCGACTCACAAGGTTTAAGCCAGATTCCTTGCTGCTCTTGCAGTGTTGGACAACTTTTTTATCTCCATCTGCGGTTTTTAAAATAGCTGCAGATTGCCTATTGGGGAAGATCATTTGAATAAGCGAGGCAGGCTATCAAATGCCACTATAAACCCACCCCAGATGCCCTGCCAGCTCAGCTCTGTAGCTCTAATTCTGCCTATTGTGTGTTGATCTGAGACCTTTCAGCCAGCGTTTAATGGAACTGAAAAACAACTCCCAGCCACTATTTTTCCAGCCTGGTCTGGAACCAAATTAGATGGTTTACGAGGGTGTTGCTTTCCTCGCTTCTTGATACACACTGCTCTGTTTCAAAACAAAAGGAAATGTAGTGCAAGTGCTGGATAATTTAGTGCTGGATCATGCTTGCTACCAGTACCCAAGGCAGAAGCATTAGAATTCATGTGTCATTTCATGTATACAGATATAGGGTTATCACCTAATCCATGTCGAGAAGGACACCGTGAGCTACTCCAGCTTTTACAAACTAATTTAAAAGTGAAAGGCTCCCATGCTCAGATAAATTGTTTAGTTCGTCTTGTACCTTTACTGGTTTATTTCCTGTTTCACATTAACATTAGTGACATATATGCATGATTATAGGCGACTGACCAATCACCACACAGCAAGAATTTAAGTGAAATCCGGGCCCATTTAATTGAAATGGTTGAAATGGTAGTTTACAAACCCTGTTGCAGCTCATAGTGTCCCTCCTGACATGGATTAGGTGGTAACCCTATATACAGATTAATCAAACGCCTTTCCAGGTGAATTTCAGAGTGCAAAGAAGCAATTCAAGCTGAAAAGCACAAACCAGCAGCATAATTAATCACTACATGCAGGTTACAAATATCCACGAAGCTGAAACACAAGTTCGGTTTTCTCATTCCTTCTCCAGAAGCTATGCACCAGGAGGGTCCCATGGGCTGCCAATAATGCTAATGGACACTACGGTCTCACCACTGTGATCAATGAGGTTTGCTGGGATTATGGGAGGAGAAGCTGCACGGGTATAATTACCTCAGACTGACACCACATCTGGTAATTACAGGACCTTTGGGGTCCCTAACCCTAACATAGGACCCTGGGTTGTGACCTCATTTGTCCCTCTTTGAGAGAGGAGGCGGGAAATGCTGTTGGATGCTCTTAACAGGAAGGGTTTTTGGTCAACGTGATACGCGGTGCAATTAAATCATTCATGCAGTGAGAAATAACCGCCATTAAAATTAACATCGTTTGAGATCGTGCAACACTTCCCAAATAGCCGGAAGTAACTATAGCGAGATGGAAGATTGTAATAAAATAAATACAGTAAAAAAAACAGAGGTCCACAGATCAATAAAATGACAGGTAAAATATGCCTTTAAAAAGTGTGGCTGTTTCTCACCTCAAGACTTTTCAACACTCTTGCTGAGAACATCAAGGCTCTCCACAGTACAACAAAACATTTATATTTTTTGAATTTTTGTTAGTTTATGAGATTCTTTCAGTATTAGCATATGAGACGCTCAATAAAGAGGGATATCGGTGAGAAGTGTGAAATGACCTACCACCACGCCGCTCTCGGTGAAGGTCTCCTTGTACGTGAAGTTACACACCGCCCAGGCTAGATAGTACGTGGACATGCGTGGAGTTCGGGCAAAGTGGTTGGTCACCCATCCGTCTTCGTCCATTAAGGACGTTTCCACCGGCATGTTGGACAGTGACAGATAGGTGCTGTCGTGCTTCAGGCTGATCTTAAACGTGGCTTTGTAGATGGGCTCGTCGAAGCACGGGAAGGCTTTCCGGGCGTGTGTGGGGGAGAACTGCGTTACAGCAAGGAACCTGCCAGCGGGGAGAGAAGGTCACGGGGTCAGTTTATGCTACAGAAGGAAGCACTTACAGGAGCTTGGCTATATAGCTAGCTTTGATTGCTGAAGTGTAAGGATAGGTGAAATAAATCACTTCACCTCAATTCTTCAGCCATTTTAGTAATATTCTACATTTTTAATGTACCACTTTCTTCTTGAATGTCTGGATTCATTAACCTGCATTAATCGCCTACTTAATGATATGTATACATTTCAAACCAATTAAGAGATTGCTTTTCTAAGTTACATTTCAATCCCTATTTTTGGATATACTCCAATATAATTTTAATTAAATCACTGTTGATTTTATGACATACTTACACTTACACACTAACTATATTGGTTTTCAGATGATAAACACGTTACTTCACATATCTAGGCCAATAAAATGATTTTGCTGTAAATCGATATCCACGATCCAGCTGATCTCATGCCAGTTTCCCTCCAAAAACATGAGTAATGGACGTAACCATATCGTCAGCCAGAAATGTAATAGGCTACATTCGTCCCAGTGGTGTAGGAGAAAGTTTGATATTGGACAGGGGGCAGCTTAATAATATAAGGGCAAAGGTCTATTTATAGGTAGTAAAAATGAAGATAAATGATAATTTAGGGGGGTACACGTCCCCCCCCCGTCACCCTCCGTTCCTGCGCCCTATTCGTCCTCACTACACTTCTTTAAAGATGTTTTTCTCCTCAAATTACCAATCTCAGCAGCATCCCTAAAGGCTGTTATTGTACTGCACTTTTTGTTAATATAAATACAAACTGTTTATGTTAAAATTAAAATGCTCAGGGGTTTTTCTCTTCCCAAAGCTGGGAGCTGGGGGCATTTTCTGGAAAACAAAATCCAGCAAGAACGGCACTAATAGCGGGTCTCCTTAGAAAAAAACATAATCTCGGGAACAGCAGTATCACTTTATCCGCCTGCAGCTAGACAAACAGCCATAAAAGTGACTTTCACTCGCTGGGAAGAAAGAGAGCCCGCACACATACTTTGAGAGTGACCCGCCGCGGCGCACGGGGGCTCCGGTGTTTGATACCAGCGCTGCGCGGAGCCTGTTTACCGCTTCACGCTTCATGAGCTCAGTCCCCGTAGCCCGACACTCCTGCTTAGTGCGAGTATACCGCTTTATGAATCTCTGCTTGTGAAAGAAGAGACTGTTATTAAAAGTTAAAAAGTATTTTGAAATGTTTATGAAGAAACGCCAGCTTTTAAGGACCACAGATTCTGCAACACTGTGAGGGAACCGCGTACTTAACTAGACCTTAGTGTGTTTACGGCGCATAGTTTAAATTTATAATCAGGCCTATTTTAATAACCGTGATATTAATAAAAGTTGCTCACAATGTTGTGGCTTTAGTGGCTCAGTGGGTAGTACTGGGGTATTGCCTCACACCATGGGCGTTTTGGATTCAGTTCCTGCCCCTCACTCTATGCTCTACTTGCATATTCCCCCTGTGTTTATGTGAATTCCCTTGAGCTACTGCAATTTCCTCCTCCCGGCCAAAAACCAGGTTTGAAGGACTATTTTTTCTAAACTGCCTAAAATGTTTGTGTGTGCTCTCCTATGAACTGGCATCCCATCCAGCGTGACCACTGCTTTGTATGCTGCAGTTCCCAGTATAGGCTACAGGCTTACCACAGCCCTGTAATATGTAAGTGTGCAGTTGTGGGAGATGCGTGAATTACTGGTTATAAGCGTGAAACCTGGTTATATCGTCAAAATGTACGCATATATTGCGTAGAACACATTTTATGACACGTGACTTAAGCACCTCATAACGTCATGATTTCTTGAATCTGACGGTTCTAGCCTTCTTCCTAAAACCCGACCGTCTTCTCATTGTATTACAGGTAACATGTTGGCGCAGAGTGACCCGACAACAGACGTCACGTCACAAGGAAAACGGTGAGTGAGATACGGAGCCTGGAAATTTAGTAGCGCTGAGCTCTGCCAGCCGCATGCAGTGAGCGCAAGGAGAAAAGGCACAGCTGGAATCTGGATCGTCTATTGGACAGAGAAGATGAAGGGCGCCCCTGACAGGAAGGACAGAAACTCATTCATGGGTGTGAATGAAAGCTGAAAGACCAGCCAGCAGCGGGAGTGTCACCGTTAGAGCTCCAAGGAGGGTCTGTCTGGCAACGGGCGTGACGTCACACACCGCCCTTACAATACGGGTCCTACGCAGCTGGAACCTCTAAATATCAGTGTAATATGGTAATTGCACACAAACGTAAAAGCTTAAATGTAACCAATAGCGATAGTTTTTCTCGCCTTCAGTTATGCTTGCGTCTCTACACGTGTCAACTTTGCTTTGTTTTTGGCTTCGTTCCCTAGTCCAACTTTGGTATAGTTTGCATATTTTATATAGTCAAAATTAAATTTTAAAAAAGTAAATACATCTTCCCAGACCGGCTGCCGCAGTGGAAATCGATGCACCCGATCGCACTGCGCCCAAATCGCTACTGATAAATTTGCTGCGCAAAGTTAAAAGAAAAGAAAAAAAAACTCAGCAAGCCGTCGCGGACCCAGGTGGTTTCTGTTATTAGCCGCCTGATAAATAATGCAGCTCTTCCAAAATTGTATACTTAAATTACAAATCAATCCACTTATTTTTATAGTGCTAATTAAATTACCTTTTAAAACATAACAGGTCTGTTTAAATAAGGAACCTGCAGTGTCAGCAGTATCCGCCCATAATTGCTGACGTCAGCTCAAGGCAAAATCAGGATCTTAAATATGCCAGCATTTGGATCAGAGGCTGAAAATCTGTGATGGCTGGGTCTCTTTTCAGCAGGTGCCATGCCATGGCGACAAACACGTTGGCCCAGCCAGTGGAGCTACAGCCACCAGGACACACTGAGCAATGCATGCTGGGACAGCGGCGTATCATGTGGTATGACTGACAGCATGTTTGCGGGTCACTTGATCCAAGGGACACAGGCATGTTACATGTGCAGGAACTTTGAAACAGCTTAGACCCTTAAGAGCTAACCAATCTACAGGAAGATATAAGAGCAAGAAAGGAAATAGGAACCTAAAGCCAAGGATATTATTCACAAAAAAACCGTTCACGTAACTGACCTGTATCAGGTTATGCTCTGCTCTAGGTAACTTTTAAGCAGGTTCACAAGAAGCCAATAAATGACCAGTTATGACTTAACATGGATGTACATCATTTACGATACATTTTAAAAGAGACAATTTAATATCTTGAGTCCTTATGAAACCTACAGCTGCAAAGTCAACTTTAAAGTGCAAATGATTTATTTGTAAATAAGATAATAGTTTAAGGCACGGATGCAGTTGGTAGGAACCGAAAAAAATGTTTTCTCATTGTAAATGATTAATGGCAAATGCGATCGATGGGAATGGCGAGGAGTAAACAAAGCCACGTGTTTAGGCTACTCATAATGCTTAAAATATGACTTAACCCCAGCTTGCGCGACAATTATAAAATGGATTTTTATAATTCTCTTTATAATTTTACGATTTAATTCGGAGGATATCAAAATTCGATTAAATTATAGATAGTCAAATTATGAAGTAAATCTTCGATTACTATGTGGTTATAGAATGTATAGTCTACATTACTTTATAGAACATGTGTTACGGTTTTACACAGATAAACACAGATGGTATATGGATTACCTTTTTTCTCCGTTCAAAACATAGGAGCTGCGAAAAAATCCCAGAAGTTCGTTTTCAATTTGTGCTTCAAACGTGATATTTATTTTGTATGTCCGGAGGGGCTTTAGCTCCCTGTGCAAAGCAATGACATAAACCTGGTTGGCCGGATAACTGAAGCGGCGATTGATTCGCATGACGCCGGGTTTCTTGCTGTCCGAGTAGACCACCGCCTTTTCCAGCTCCAGCCGGTCGGCATGCAGGACGATGAACCTGGTGGAGGTGATGCACTCCACTTCGATGTTTACCTCCCCGGAGAAGGTGAAGTTATCCATGTAGACTGACAGCTTCAGGTCATAGTGGCGCGGTCGCAGGGATGCTGGCAGTCGCACGTGCCTCCATGGTTGAGTGTCCTCCTCCCTGTGGTTGGACTGGGAATCCCGGGACTGGTTGGACTTTGTGGAGGTGCCGTTGGCAGCCCGGTGGACGCTCTCGGTGGAACACTCATCAAAGCGCACCCCGAGCAGCACGGCGACCGCCGTTACCGCTATCAGCGTCAGGATGGAGACGGCAAACCCCAGCACAAGCCTCTTGTGCACCGTGATGTGTCGCTCGGTCGTCCTGGGTCGCACCACAACGGTGTCGGCCCATTGATCCGGGAGGCCTCTCCCGTTGCTCATAGAGTTGTCTTCGATGCCCATCTGCGTGAAAGATAAGCCTTTGCCACGCTTGTCTTCCAAAGCCATACTCCACTGAATATGACCTTAAGTTGCAGCACGGCGGCGAGAAAGTGAATCGGTTACCAGAGTCCTAGCTCCGGTGTCAGCAGCCGACAGCAGTCATGCATGCAGTCCTGCAAACACTTCAAAAGTGGCTCGATGCGATGGGCGCACAAAAAAGGAACAACTGAAGTGTTGCTTTAACTTCAATGACAGGATATATCCGTGTCAGTGGCAGCGCGAAGAAACGACGGCGTGCATATTATTCGGTATCATATCATGTCTGTATCACAGTCCCGGTCCTTGGAGGGTAAGGGGGCTCCTGGAAGTGCATCCATCTATCCTGGGCTCCGGTGCTGATGCAGCTGGGCTCCCGGCGTGCTGCCTTACAGTGTGCAGCTGGGCTCCCGGCGTCTCCGCGCGCTTCCCGCATATTGAGCAAACTTCGCCCCGGCCAACAGCTGCGCTCCCAGATACGGGGGTTCGCGAAATCCCAGCCCGATCCGATGTGAGCAATGTATGAATCACTGGAGCAACAAATATTAGCCGTCTTCTTCCACTCCTATATCCTTGAATGTTTTGTAACACGAGAAACAACGGAAGGAGAACTTTGCAGCTGCGTGATCGGATGATGAGTAGAATGAGGAGCGTAGTGATGCCCAGCCGAGCGGGTCTGGGGTTTTCTCTAGCTGCGGACCACAATGAAACATTTATATCCTCAGACGGATCCTCACGAAGCACTGCTTACGGTGAACGTGTCTGTGTTTGCCCTGCCTAAATACACTTTAAGCAGCATACTGACGGGCTGTGTGGGCTTACAACCAATGATCTCAGATTGATGGGAGCACCTGCACATACCGATGTCACGCCCCCTCTTATACGGCTAAAGCCACGTAGAGATACGCATCGCATGAAAAGACAGGCGCCTTCCAAATTGCGCGTTAACTAAGAACAGCGTGATGTTTGCTGATTTAAACGTTGTTTTAGAATGAAGGATATGTACAATTTGTCACACAGTTTTATTATTATATAAAGAATGTGCAACCTATTAAAATAATTCTCTTGAGAATTATATCCAGTGAATGTGAGTATTAATATTTCGAAAGAGAATAGTTGTCCCAAACGGCTTATTACTTACGTGTTCAATTAGGGCAGTGGAGATGTACAGTAGGTGTTAGGCTACTGCTATTTGACCGTGTTAGTCTGAACTACGCCACCCCGCGGAAATATTTAGGTACTGCTGATGAAAAATTGGCAAAATCTAAAGCATATAAAGGGACGCGAATTCAGAATTCCATTACACAGTCCCTCCTGACTAAAAAGAATATGACGCTAATACCATGAACAACGCAATTAGTATTTTTGCAGCTGGTATTAAATTCCCCATGTAATAGTTTGCCGTCAATGATGAGATTGTATATCGAATGCGATGGAAAGTTATTTCCAGCAACCCGGGTCATCATGCTTTATTGATTTCAAATCAGCGTGCGATGTAGCACATGTTAACACGCGTTACACATAGGTGTGTTAATTGGGGGGCTTGTACAACGGATCAGGGACTCTGATTAAAACGTCCGTAGGGTGTAATTATGAATATTTTGAATAAATTGTTCTGAACCCCAGTACTCCACGTGCAGGGAGACATGGGTCACCTGTTCGGTTGGTGGAGACGATTATATTTCTGGTGGTTTTATGCGTTTGCGATAATCAAAAGAGCGATTGTTTTTTTTTTCGGAATTAATTTTTAAACATAGCCCAGTTGCAAGATGTCCGTAATTTTATTTTTATATATTGCACGCGCAAACGGAAATAATAACCTGTATAGATCCATATCATTCTTTCAGTGTTCATTAAAAAGCAATACAAATAAATCATATGCGAATGGTACAGAATAGAACATAACAGTCAGTAACACTGACCCGGCCCCTTTTTCTAATGTGAACGTTTGACTGACTTTGACTGACGTTTTGACAAATGTACAGTATGGTGGATTAAGAGCCTAAAGGAAAACTGTCCAGATCTGTCACCATAGCTGGTAAAATCATGCATCCACGACCTCATGCCCACTGAATTTCCTATCTGTCCACAACAGCTACTTATCAGTTTGTTTTTCTGTTGATTTTGTGCAGCGGTCAAGAGATTTAGATTTAAAAAAGGCGAAAAAACGATTTCACGTCTAATTAATGAATTAATTAATTAGGCCTACTTTAAAATAGTGGAACCGTGCCGGGGCCGGCTTTAGCCACAGGCAAACATGCAGTTGCCTAGATCCCAGAATTACGCGGATTGCAGAGGATGTAGCACGATCGTCATTTATCTTGGCAGGGTAGTACATCTAATAAAGCTTTGCCTTGGGCCCCCGAATAGGCAGAGCCGTGCAGTCAATATAACCAGTTATCGCTGGCAATGACTCCTCTCTGTAATTTTCACTGCATTTTTGTTTGCCGAATCAGTACCACTTTCTTTACCACTTTTGCAGTTAAGCCATTTAGTGTCTCTTTTTATTATGACAATGTATTTTGTTATGTTATGCATTATGTAATGCAACATCAGTATCCTGTAGGGGAGACTGGGGCATGTTGTCACACATTTAATTTTGTCTAGGTTTTCCCAAAATTAGTAGAAAAAGCAGCCTTGTTGAATAGTTACAATCATACCAAAATAAAGTCAAGGGTTTAATGCACAGTTTAATATGCATTGTATATTCATTCCTAATTTCATATAGATTTAATTACACAATAATTGCACATTAGTATTTATGCTTGCATGCTATTATGATTTATATGAATTTGATGAGTTATTTACATATTAAAGCTGTCACGCTCGCGGGTAGGGTAAGCAGGAAGCAGGCGAGCGTAGCCAGGTAGTCAGGGTAACGGGGTTTAATAGAAGGCAGACGTACAGGTACGAACATCAACGGACACTACACAATGACTGATCTGGGGATAACTGACTCTGACAAGGACTAAATACACTAGACAAGCCACGGACAACAAGCCACAGGTTAGAACAATCAGGGCAAAACCGGAGGTAATGAGGTGGGCGTGGCACACATCGGGAGCGGACGGAGCGGGGCGTGACAAAAGCCAAACAATTTTCTCTGTTATAAATATGAACCAGTTTGACAATTAACCAAACAGAAGGGTTTTTAAAACATAAAAACTAACAGTTTCTTCATATATTTGGTCAAAATGTGAAAACAAGCAGTTACCTCAGACTGTTGGTTGATTGTGAAAACCAGTTGCTTGAATATATCAAAAGGGGTGTGATGTGATTTACTGTAATAGTGTTTTCCATCAGTAATAAACACACATACATTTCTGTGTGACAACTTGCCCCTGAAACTTTTAGCCATACACCCCTCACTTTCTAGCAAGGATAATTAAAATGCAAACCACAATGTAGACTGCCATTAATTACCATTAAATACAATAGCTGTAAATGCCTAATTCCAGCAAACAAACGCCGGATTTTCAGCGAGAAAAGAGCAAATATAGTGATATTTCAATAGACTTTTTTTTTTTTTTTTTGATTTTCAGTCGGCCTAATCTGACATTAGCAGGCGTTTCGTGGAAATTACTACCCAGTCGATGAACCCTCTGAACAGGCAAGCTTGTTAAATGTACTAATGATTTAATTAAAGTAAAGGTTATTGAAGATCGACAAAATTAACCATGAAGTAAGAACCAAGTGAGGCTGTTGGTTCTACAGGTGACATATACTTGAATCGTTATCATACCACAAGAAAACTATTAGAAGTAGAAAATATGCATTAAATAAAAGATAATGTAGAAAATATGCACAAGCAAATAGCATTACTAAGACATCTTACTTAGGTTTACAATGAACTTTAACCTCCTGAGACCCCACCCATTGTAGTGGACATTTTGTTTTTGCATCTATCTTTTCACTCATGTAAGGAAACGTATTTATTCCTGTTGTACACTAAAGAGAACATGCTGTGAAATTAAAAATAAAAATAAATTTGAAAAAATCTAAATTGTAAGATGTCTTATTTCCTCCAAAGATAAATAACCTAAAGTTGAAGGACACTTTTTTCCCCTGGGTCTCAGGAGGATAAATACATTGATAGTCGTTAATTTGCTTAACTGAAGTTTTTATACTGGAACACTATATACCATTAATAAGCATTTTATTTAAGATAGGCTATTGCATTTAGTGCTATAACTGCAAGGAAAACATATGCAGTAATTACATGTGCCTGCCGTAGGCTTCACGGCCTGCCATTCATTTTTATTTGCTCAAATGTGGGATCCGTTTGGGTATCACACTTCCCGTGCATTTCATCAGTTGTGTGTTTATGACCACAGGAAACCACTGCTGAGCTGTTCGCCACAATGACATGGGACAGAGCAGCCAATGACGTGCACGGTGGATCGTAAACAGGCTGCAGAGAGCACCAATGGGTAGCACTGCAACCTCATACCATCTAAGGTTGTGGGTTAAGTGTGGATTTTGTTTGCTCTCCTCATGTTTTTGTGAGTGTCCTTCTAAGGTCCAAGATCGTGGTTTAGTTGATTCATGACACTAAATTGCCTCTATTGCAGAATATGTGAGTGTGTGCCCTGTGGTGGACTGGCATCCCATCCAGAATCTTCTGCCCTGGGATAGGTTCCAGGATCTCTACAGCCCTATACTAGATAAGAGGTATAGAAAATACATGGATATATCATAAACACACAGACAAAACAAAAGGCCGATGCTGAAGGTATTTCTGCGGGCAGGTGGAGGTTGTTCAGCGACAGGTCTTTTAAAAAAATCGAAAGACAGGATGATGAAGCCTGTTAATCGATGGTTTACTCGGCACAGCCGTCGGCCCTCTCATTTCGCACAGATGCAAGCAGCAAGACTTGTTGCCCAGACATTCCTTAAAAAAAATGGAGAGCTTGAGCTCGCCAGGAGAAAGTTGAAGGACGAGCGGCGATGCATCTGCAGTGTAGCTGCCTTCCTCCATCTGCGCGCTAACGAGCTGCTGCTAATTATAGTTGGATACGGCATGCATGTTGGGGGCAGAGGAAGTGGCTCTCTGTTGTTCGTGGGCGTTCCTGCAGTTCGCTACTGACTTTAAAGGTCTTCTTTACCCCTGTGAAGTACGTGGGCAGTAGATCCCTGCTAACACAGCTCCAAGTTGACATTACTGTAACAGCCAGCACAGTTTATGATCTAAATACACTATTTTTGTTATAGAGTGGGACCAATAAGCATTAGCCTAAATCTTGGGTCTTTCTTGTGGCGTTCCCATGTGGTTTAAAGCACACCCCCTGCACTCTGTTTTCCCGGAAGCCCTATACTGTACAAACAGTCAAAGCAAAATTGATGGATGGATATTTAAGGAGACAGCAACGAGCTGCCGAGAAAAAGACATTTATTCAATTGAGCTTCTGACTACAGTGTTGATCAGCCTCTCAGCGTATCGATCTGCTCTATGACTGCAGTTTATTTACTCTCTTTATCCATGACAGCCAGGCAAAGGTGGGATGTTTTCACGAACAATTGGCCGTGAGATGTTAGCGTGACGGCGCCTCCTCAGCGTGGGATTGAAATGGAATGCAGCTCATGCGGCAGGCTTCGGCGATGGAGCGTCCATCGGCGATGGAGCGAGGACAGGACCAACCAGCTTATATCGCCCTGATGCCTCTGCAAGGCCTGAGCTCAGTGGAGTACAATCTTTCTCCTAGGCTTTTCAGTGTTCGAATTAACCCCCCCCCCCCATTTTACACCTAATACTGTTGTCACCCAGCAGACCTCCCCAAAGACTAAAGACATCTATAAACATACAGAAGAATTAGCATTTTATTAACATACTGCAATGCTGGGCGTTAGCCAACAGAAGCAATGACTCCGCTATCTGCCAATCAGCAGGACAGAGGCCGATGACCGCTTCATCGATTAGCTTCTGACAGGGTGACGTAGGCCAACTCTGCCAAGATCCCATTTTGTAGAGCTAAGCGTATTTTCAAACCCAAGCCCAAGGACGGGCACCTCTTCAAACGTGGCAAACATCACTCTGATTAATGGAGTTCAATCTGTTATGTCTGGAGATGCAGCCCCCTCCGATGCACCCCGATGGTTTTCTGCATTCCGATTTCCGTAAATCCACTCAAATAAATGAAGCAGGTTGTACATGTGCTGGTTCTGTATTTTTACTGTGATGGATAACTTGGGGGGGGGGGCAAGGAGGGAGTTTGTTACGCAGGAGAAGAGGGAAAGAATGTCATTGCTGGAAGAATCATGGGGCGATTCTTACTTCCAGCATGGGTCGTGTCATTGAGAAGGGCGGTCACTTAACAGAAGGAACTCGTCTTTCATGTCAGCATCTTTCATGCTGGTTCACAACAAATATGACAGCTCAGCTAAATTTAGAAGCTTTTCTTTGTTCACTTGCTTTCGTTGCAAGCATTTGAAGGAACTAAGGGGGCTTTTTTTTCTGTGCTTTAATTACCAAGCTCATGGCTGAGTTTAAAATCAGCAGGTTTCCTTGCTCTCGACACCCTAAGTGGTGCCTGTTAATTCTAACTGTAGAGGAATCTGTCCTTCGGGGGCTGGAGTCAGTCTACTGGCAATGAGTCAGCTGTTCAGACCCCTTCCCCTTTTAGAAATCCCAAGAAATCCATTTAGAAAGCTGCTGCCAAGCTGATAATTGGCTGACTGGCTTCGGGATAAGTGAGCTCCCAAAGCTGTTACATTTTCATGTCAGCCAATCAGACCGTTTGACTGATGGGGGAAGCTCGCTATTTGGAAAAAGAAGAGTTTGCTTCCGCTAGTCACAAAAGGAAGGGGAGTGACTGTCTCGGGCTGCATCGAACGTCAGGAAAGGTCGTCGGCGGCGTTGGTCACACCTTTATGGGACACGGTGACAATCCCAGGGGTTTACGGTGAAACGTAACATGCAGCCGATGAGGTGAGATAAAAAGGGGAGGGCTTTAAGAGCTTCTGTTGGGATGTGTCTGGAGATGGAATTCTAGGTGGTGGAGATGACAGGCATTCCAGAATTCTGCTGCCCCCCCACCAGGGCAAACTGCCCAGCCCACTTGTAGCTTCTAAATGAAGCTCGGGGACACACCAGGTCAAACTCATTACTGCCTGTTCAGTAAAGTGCAAACACGACCCTGGACCGAGTTCCCATCATCCATCGTCTGCCTGTTCATTTCCTCCCCCAGGAATAAGGCCTCATATACATTTTATTTATCAGAAATTGTCAATCGAAGCGATGTATGGAGAGAGCAGGCTCAGACAGTGCCCCAGGCGCAGTTGAGGGTTAGGGTCTCTGAAAGGCTCAGCGGTGAAATCACTCTGCTCTGGCTCGGATTAACCGCATGGGCATTTGGGTTCATGTCCTCGGGGGGCACCAAGCAGAACAACCCCTGCATAAGCCACCCCCCCGGGCCCATTCATTAATGTATTATAAAAATGAATGCAATATTATTGTGGTGTGTCAACAGTGACCACTGATCACCTAATTCTTCTGAATTTCATGAGCCCCCAATTAACTCTGCGTTCATCCTGACATGATATCACATGTGCTGCTGCCCAGGGGCACTTAATACTCTGAATCCAGGCTGGATTCTGCCGACCAGATTATTCGAACCAGCGACCTTCCGTTCGTTCACGCGCGCAGCATCCTAACCTCACCAACGGTTTAACAATTAGTGGGCTGGCGCAAGAATGCTGTCAATTATTGTCATATTTATACAAATCATAAAAGAGAACATAAAGCATGCCGATACAGTGACTGTCTTTGCACTTGGATGTATCATCCATGTTGAACCACAAACAGATCCCAGAGAATCGGTGATGCCATTTTCCTGCTGTAGGTACCTGTGTTCCCCAGGGAACATCCTGTGAGAGGTGTTTGTTCAATCCCCCACTCCCCTCCTCCGGTGGTCCTGCTGAAAGGGCACCGTGCTAACCGGAGTTAAATGTGAGTCCACCTTAGTCACAAGGGAGAAAGAGGGAGATGTGAGAGGAAAAGTTGACCACATGTGATGCATGAACGATTAAGGGTGCATTAAAAACGGGAAGCAACCTCGACATGGGCTATATTAACAGAGGATGTGTGACTGATATGGAATAGACAAGCGATATAAAGAGCGCAGAGTATGTCAGCAACACTGAGTGTAAGACCGACACAGGGTTTACTACACTTTAATGAGCACTAAAGCAAAGGCTCTGAGCACTGATGACAAGTAGTGGGGTTTCCTTTGTCCAGTGAGGGTTAGGGTTAGGTTTAGGTTTAGGGTTAGGGTGGTACCATGATGATAGCAACACTGGCATCACAAGACAGACATCTGCACCTTCAGGAAACTCACCATTCTGCCCATTCTATGGCTTTACATGATATCCTTACAGAGGACCGTGTGATGTGACACTGACTTCTTTATCCATCTTATCAATACACACAGGGAGAGCATGGAAATCCGGCCCAGTGCCGGGAATTCAACCCCCAACCCTGGGGTTAAGTATCAAGTCGAGTCGAGTCGAGTGGGCTTTACTGTCAAAGCATCAATATTCAGGTACACAGTGGCATGGAATAACATCCCACCCCCCCAAAAAAAAACATGGTATGACATACAAAAACAACGAGTGACTGGAAAGGTTTCACTGTACTTACAGTGCAAAAACACAAGACAGTGTGAAACGGGGGCTAGACACAAGGGTTACGTACATAGTGCAATGTGTATGTAAACAGTAAATAATTCATGAATGGGTGGCATAAATACAGTGAACTGATCACCAATAAATAGCTAAATAATAATAAGTCAAAGAATGCAGTGCCACCCACTAAGCCACCTACAGGTTAAATTACTGTTTCATTTCTTTGATTTAAAAGCTGCCTTTCCATTATAGGAGTGATTGATACACACACACAATCCCTGCAAGCCGTGAAGTTCTGGCACATTTGAAATGTATTATTTCTAACCTCAGACATTTCAAGCCTTATGCTTTTCTGTGCAGTCACACCACCCTCTTTCAAACTGTGTAAATTTCAAGGGTCTCGGGTAAATAAACGATAAGCTGAGTCTGTTTCAGATATTCATGAAATATTCAGACGAGCGCGTGCCGTCTCAGTCATGCAGGACGGCTTTCAAACGTGCCGCTTCTGCGGAAACCGCCCCCTATCCTCAGATATATGTGCGCGAGGACCTGGTGAACAAATCCAGCAGCTGCTACACTACAGTGCAATGCCTGCTTTGTTCCTGGAGATGACAGACTGGCTGCTTCTTTTCACACATTCATTTACATTTAGATTACGTGGGAAAGCTTTAATCCATCTTGTTGCTCTCGCTTAATGGATGGTAATTCCGGGGCAGGATGGCCTGGATACCCTCCCCTGGACCGTACCCTCATCAAGTAAAACGCGCCGCTTCAGGACCGCGGACAGCGCCAGCTGTGACTCACACAGGCTCAAAGGGAAGCAGGAAGGGGCCAAATTCCACAGTGCTGTCATACTGGTATAATTGCCCTTGTCATGAAACCAGTGGGGCCACCTGGGTCTGCGCTTTGGAGCATCATTAAGAATGCAGTGATGAAGATCCACAGCGCTTTGGAATGCAGTGATGAAGATCCACAGCGCTTTGGAATGCAGTGATGAAGATCCACAGCGCTTTGGAATGCAGTGATGAAGATCCATTCATTTTCCATACATTTACCTACATAGACAGTTTGGCAACCTCGCCTGTTTTTGGTCTCCTGACGTATGAGGCAATGGTACGAACCATTGTGCCAGCCCTACAGCAGGGGTGTCATTAGGCCTGTTTTACCTCCCCCAAATAAATGTTTGTCAGCTCCCCCAAATAAATATGTATTTATTGGCTTAAGTCATGAATAGTTTGCCATCAGTCCCCCCCAAGTAAAGATTCACCCCCCCTATCCATTCATCTCTAACTACGCCCCTGCGCTACAGTAATGATCAATCATGAAAAACTACCTATAAATAATGCAACGCAAACCGATAAAGCTTTAATAAAAGCAATGAATTATATCCGTTGGTTTTTTTTTGTTTTTTTTTTTGCACAAAAGGCCAAATCTGAATTTTTCGAAAGCAGACAAGTGAACACGAGGTTACGCCCCTATCTTCAGATGTGTTCCACGGTCTGTGGCCCTCACAAAACGGAGGCGAGGTCGCCATGGCGATGCAGCGGTGAAATCACAGCCCCTCTCTGCTGCCAGAATCAATTACAAGGGAATTCCAACGGAGGAGGACAGGGTAAAAGAGTGGATCTGGTACGTGACAGCAAATTAACGCTCCCCCATATTACTCTCTGGTTCGTATCCCCCTTCTTTCTGCAGCTATTAGTCTGTCAGGAGAAACCAAGGCCTCGCCAGACTGCTTTGAGCACGATGGTCGTCACCGTCTTCCTGGCTCCAGATGGTACGGGTCAGGGGTGAGCGATAACTCAGGTATGCAAGGAGCGCTTGTTCTGTAAGATCAGGGCCGTGCGATCTACCTCCTGAAAGGAGACGTCTGTCCCTGGATGTATCTCACTGCAGCTAAAGACCAGCCGGGATGCTGGATTGGATTCACCCAGCTGTTCCTGCACCATTCCTCATTGAAAGCGGCTTCAACAGGATCTTAGGACAGCTATCTCGCCAAATCCCCCATGCACACTCAGATATATGGTGGGGTATATTACATATATTTTTCTAACGATGCTGCCTTAAATAAAATAAATGAAGGTTAGACATACCCAGACAGTTCAACATATGACACAATCCACTGTAAGGTCCTTATAAATGCAATCGTTGGTTATTCTGAGAAAGCAGTAGCAAATACTGTCCTCTGCTCATTGGCATACGTGTTACCAGGGTGATGATACACCCTTGCAATAAAGATGGTAGCATGGAAGCGTTCTCCTGATACGGACGTAACACACCTGCTTCAAACCATGCTGCCCACGTCGAGGTTGAAGCTGATGCTGCTGATTGGCATAGAGACAGAGCTCCGCATTAATGGAAAGCCGTAATGAGAAAATGAGCGCCGCGCAAGGACAAGTGAAATGCGGTTTCAGTGTCACGGGGTGGCAGATTCCCACCACGGCCTGGCAGAGGAGAGCGGTAGCAGGGCGTGCCAGCGTGTGCCAGCGAGAATGCCTGATTGGCACCGGACTCTCATTCCACACGCTTGTGTAATTTGAAGTGGCACCTCCGACCGCCCTGTCCCTTGCAGATCTGCCCTGCTGCATGCCGGTCGAGGAGGCAGCTGCCAGACGTGGCGGGGTGGGCACAGGATGATCTGGCACGAGGACGGACCCCCGCCACGCCTCATCACTAGCCCCCGCCCCCGCCCGCCGTGCTGCTTCCCGTTAGCTGGTGTTCCGACAGCTTCGCCTCGGATGTCTGCTCCCTAATTCTTAATTTCCTGCCCCATTTCTGAAGCGTGAGGCTATTCGCGCAGCATTTGCTGCACTCCATGTGTTGTTCACACCCTCTGTGATGTCGTCCATGTTGTTATCGATGGAATCCACGTTGGTATGTGATGTCCAGGTTAGTATCCATTACTTAGGTGAATAATATGATCATTTATAACCATGCTGCCATAACTGATGGCACTTTTCCAGCCTTGTCTGGTGTATGGACTAAAACTCACCAACCAGGATGCTTGTCATCATCGTCTGGATGTTAAATGACAAAACCCCACCAAGACTGCCAGCTTCACACAAGCCAGGTTAAACACTTTGACGAAACCCTAGACACCCCCTCGCTTTGATCATGTGACAACCGACCCCCCCCCCCCAACACACACAAACAATTTACCCATAATTCCTCGTGCCTTGCTGCTGCTCCCTCTGTAGACCTTCTCCCATGCAAACTGAGCAGTAGTCAAGCGGCAGATGCATCCGCCTCAGGTAATTAATGCGTCGGCTTCTCCTGCCAGCTCTCTCACAAACATCAGATAACACTTTTTTTTCCCTGCCTCCAACTTCTTTGATTAGCATATAAATAATTTCTTCTCAGAGTTATATAACCAATTGTTGACTCACAACACACATTCCTCCTGTACCAGCCCTAGTCAGTCACCCGAGTCGGACATTTACATTTCATTTTAATTATGTCGGTGAGCAAAAATCTAATAAACTGAATCTGATTGTTTAGGGCTTTAAGAGCATGTACTTTACCAAATATAATTACTGGAACATCGTCAGTTATCGCTAACATTGTAGCTCTTTGATACTAATGATCATGACATGGGTTAAGGGGTCATTAACGATAATATCCATGCGGTGAAGCTCACAGTTTTTTTCATAAAGGAAAGAAAAACGGCTCCTCTGCTTTTGCGGCTATTTTCCGAAAGTGTCCGAGCCTTGCTTTCATAAAGCCTGCTTCAGGTCACTCCAGCTTTCCTGTGCAAAGTGCACTTCGGGGAAATATACAGAGTATCTATATCCTCGCCTTTCACTGGAAAGAGCACTCTGTTGTCCTTTTAGAAATGAAACTATATATAACATAACAAGAAATATGTCCTATAACAAGACTTCAGAAGGCCCTAAAGTTTAATTAATACACTAATTAGTATCAATAAATCTATGGACAAATTAAGTTAATATCTCACCAAGCAGCCTGCCCCTTTGATATGGTGCTCAGTGTGAATTTGCTTGATCTATACAGTACAGTATAACATGCATGTTTTGTTAAATGCAAAATATTAAATTGGTATTTTGAAATTGTTGTTCGACTGAATAAGTGAATCTAAATGTCTCCTTTCAGTATGTCTGCATGTGGCAGTGCCCCGAAACTGGATTGGCACCCCCTGTAGGATCTGCCCCTTATTACACCCTGTGCTCGCTCTAATGAACCTGACTGGAATTTTTTTGTACTTGTAAAAAGCAGCTGGTCTGTTTCTTTGCTTTCTGTCGTTGCCCCTCTATGGTAAATGTGCTGTATTCATCCATTATGTTAGTTTCCCTGCAACAAAAGGCCGAGCTTGTGCCGAAGTGCTAGTGCTGATTTAAATGGACCCAGTCTCTTGTGCCACACTCACTGCCGCAGTCCCACGGCAGGCGTGTATTCGGAGCGCGCTGCGGTTTCTGGGCTATTGACACTTTTACATGTGCTGTGTTACTGTTTTTTTTCCCCTTCAATTCTTTTGAAAGCCAGCACAACGCCCCTGCAGTGACGAGCTGGATTGTTTGACTGGCTGGGTTCGAAATATAAAAAAATGACAAGTTGCTCCCAGCGAATCCAATTCTTTTCCCCGCAGTCTGATACAGCGTCTTATTAGACAGTAAGTTCATTTGACTCTCCATTCTGCATTTGTCATAATCCTTTCAGTTCCGCAGCATAAAATATGAGATATGTGGAAAAAGTTCACATTGAAATGTTTCTGAATTGGCTTCCTTCCCACACTGGCATCACAAAAGGAATGCCAGATGGCCCGTTACGATTTGGGAATCCGGCATGTCAGAACAATGTTTTTCCAATGACTGAGCAGAGTACACCTTCGGCAGGGCAGAACACATCTCCAGTAACACAGACTGAGCTCTGAGCCTCACCGTGGGGTCTCCCGTTGCCACTGGACTGGTTTCCGCTCCAGAATGCAGCAAAAATATTCTAACAGCTGGTAACTGACTCATTTAAACTGAAATGCTGCAGGACACTATGGGTGTCAAAGCACTGCCTACTAGCAGTCTAGCACTACCCAGGAAAAACTTGCAACTGAGATACCTGCAGGGTTTTGATCGATCTATGGGAACAGTTAAGATGACAGGCACCTAAGGCACCTACAGGCTCCTGATTGGTCTGTGGAAAGGGCTATCACTATAGCCAGCTAAGATACCTGCAAGCGTCTGATTGGTCTATGGGAACGGTTAACGCTATAGCCAGCTAAGATACCTGCAGGCTTCTGACTGGTCTATGGGAATACCAGCAAACTCCTGATTAGTCTGTGGAAAGGGCTATCAGTATAACCAGCTAAGATACTGTACCTGCAAGCATCTGATTGGTCTATGGGAATGGTTAACACTTTAGCCAGCTAAGATACCTGCAGGCTTCTGACTGGTCTATGGGAATACCAGCAAACTCCTGATTAGTCTGTGGAAAGGGATAGCACTATACCCTGCTAAGATACCTGCAAGCGTCTGATTGGTCTATGGGAACAGTTAACACTATAGCCAGCTAAGATACCTGCAGGCTTCTGACTGGTCTATGGGAATACCTGCAAACTCCTGATTAGTCTGTGGAAAGGGCTAGCACTATAGCCAGCTAACATACCTGCAGGCGTCTGATTGGTCTATGGGAACGGTTAACACTTTAACCAGCTAAGATACCTGCAGGCGTCTGATTGGTCTATGGGAACGGTTAACACTATAGCCAGCTAAGATATCTGCAGGCTTCTGATTGGTCTATGGGAACGGTTAACACTATAGCCAGCTAAGATACCTGCAGGCGTCTGATTGGTCTATGGGAACGGTTAACACTATAGCCAGCTAAGACATCTGCAGACTCTTGATTAGTTTATGATAATGACTATCATTACAGCCAACCAAGATAACTGAAGGCTCCTGATTGGTCTACGGGAATAGCTAACACTGTAGTCAGCTGAGAATCCTGCATGGTCTTAATAATGCAATGATGTCGTCCACATGAGATATCTAGCAAATGAAAATTCCCTCCTGCCCCTTGAGGAGAAGCAACGACAACTGTGCTGGAGATCATAGTGCCACTGTTCAGAAGAGAGGAAAATCTGTAGTGATATCTCAGGGTTTTCTGTTCCTCTGCCCAAACGTCTCCAACTCACTCATCTCACTTCTTCCTAATGAGAAATCAGACTGGAAAGTGCAGGCATAGGAAAATATAATATACCTCTGCAGGGACTTGGAGGAGTTGCAGGTTATCTTTACTGCACTCCATGATGTCTTGTCATGAGTTTACTGGAAGATCCCACTTGCTTCCTCTCCTGCTTACCATTCATTGCATGTCTCCGTCTGAAATCTGACTTCTTCCTCTCGTGACTCTGATATCTCCTTCTTTAAATCTCTTTTCATGCTGTGTTCTGCAACAGCAAATCTCGGAGAAATATTTCAGACGACAACATTCCTTGCTAAGTGAAAAATGAGATATCCAGCCTTTCTCTCGGGAAACGGAAAGGCAGCTCTGAGCTGTATAATTTTCCCGCAGGATAGCCTCAAAGCACAGCTCCCCGAATTACAGAATTTGGGAGGAGAGCAGGCAGACACTTCTGAATTTAAATGGACTTTCCTTATGGGCTAAAACTCAAGAATTCTTTCCAGTGAGTCAGCACCTTGGAACAGCGCAGTGGTGAGATTCTTCCTAAAATTAATGTATGCATGTATACATGTACATGTGTCTAAGAAGTCATATAGGGTCAGTACACTGTAAAGATAACATTGTTAACGTTATAGCCTCACGTGCTTTCCAGAACATTCTAAGGTCACCTCAACCTCCAAATTAATCAAATTCATTTTGAGTTACGAGGAACAACACAGCAGGATAGGCTATGTTTATTACATCGCTTTACATACACATGGGTTGTAGAGCTAACATTTGCGAAATGTTTGTTTAGCGCAAACAGCAAATGAAATAGGACAACAAGGTAAGAGGTGCAGGCTGTCTGCTGGAGAGCAGGGTTTTAGTGGGAGATGTTCACCATGAGGTCTCAGTGGTGACAAGTGCTGTTCTTCATAAACACTCATAAATACCTTTCAGGTTTTAAATGATTATTTTGTTATGCTGCGATGGAAGATGCACCTCACTCTACAGCTCCAGGGATATCAGGTTTGGCAGCCTGGGAATCTGGCAGCCTCGAGGACCCGGAGTGGATGTTGTGTTTCATGGAACATCATGGAAGGTGACCGCCACGCTCCCCCTAACAGAATGCAGCCACTGCGAGTGTAGGAGACGCGAGAGCAAACAAAGCATACGAGCAAGTATGCGGTGCGAGGGCAGCGCTGTGCCACACAAACAGGAAGTAGTGAGGGCAGCGCTGTGCCACACAAACAGGAAGTAACGAGGGTAACGCTGTGCCACACAAACAGGAAGTAACGAGGGTAACGCTGTGCCACACAAACAGGAAGTAGCGAGGGCAGCGCTGTGCCACACAAACAGGAAGTAGCGACGGCGGCGCTGTGCCACACAAACAGGAAATAGCGAGGGCGGTGCTGTGCCACACAAACAGGAAGTAGTGAGGGCGGTGCTGTGCCACACAAACAGGAAGTAGTGAGGGCAAGCCGGAATGTCACTTCCTGTTAGCCAGGCCGCATGGATAAGGGGAACCTTCATGAAATCTTTTTCGTGGTATAGTAGTAATTCAACACCCGCATGGACTAACATTATAGTTATAAAACTTTGGTTATATATTGTTGCTGAACAATGAAAACTGCATATGTCCCACTTTTTGATGATTGTGACTTTTTACTATAGATATTTTATACTTAAATATGCCCATCGGCCTCTGTCTACTGATGTTTGCCATTTATTTGACCAATAAAAAGATGTTTTATGAAGTCATCCATCTATCTCATTAGAAGAGCTTTGTGTGATGGCAAATATACAGTACAATAGGGCACTGATTATGTCCAAACATTTAGACTGGCTGTCAATAATCTGCTGAGTTCTTGGAATATAGCGAACAGGAGACAAGGCTCGAACTAACAATGCGTCATTGGAACACATGATGAGAAAAGTACTTAAGTCTGCGTTTGCTAACAACAATAAATCCATTTAAAACATTAAACTGCTCACTGACAGCTGTGTAGTGATGAGGTTCTATTTGTGGTCTTGAGGGTGTTTCATTGTGTTGTTTTATGTTTATTTTTACAAAGTGGTTTCTGCGAAAATGTGTTTCACACTCCAGAAATAATGCATTTTTGGAGATACGTGTTTCTCATTGGACAGTGATGATATTTTGCCTGAGGAAAAATGCATGAATCTGAGGCCAAAATGAAAAGTTAAAACAGCATTCGAAAGGAAAAGATCAAAGCAATTCCAATCTATTACAGACCCGTGTAGCAAATCTATGTAACACTTTAATACTTACATATCAAGTGATATATACTATATGTTGAATTAGCATTACATACATGATCATACCGAACATCATGGGACTGATTTTCCAGAAAACACGGGTGAATATGCATATATTTAAGCCGACAGCAAACCCAGATCCTCTCCTGACAGGACGACTCTGGGATCAACTGGAAACGCAGAACACAGGTGATGCAAAGACAGTCATCACGAGCAGTTGGGCTCGCTAAATGCTAAACAGGGGCTATCGCGCCATTCGTGCATCTTGACGCCTCCACACATTCCGTGACTTTTGCGATGATGGTATAGCGCGTTGACGTTTCGGATCTGCTATAAGGTACACGTTCCCGAAGCTAGCTGGGTCCTAAATCCCCAGGTATCTGTTCATTTTACCCAGGGCATCGCAGACCGTGTTCAGGTCACTCCGCAGGTCGTTCACCACGTTCTCTATGCTCCTGGTATCCTTAAGCAAGTCGACACTCTGCGTGTATGGGTTGTAGTAAACTGAGAAGGGTCGCTGAATCGTTTTGGCAAATTCCCTGTAGAAGGGAGAGCACAGGTATTAGTCTGACATATTCACTCCAATTTGAATGGTATTTCCATGACCAAATCATTTGCTTAACAAGCAGAAAACTACCCCCACACACACTCCCGGGATCAATAAAGTTCTATCATCCTATCATTATAAACAGTGAAAGATATTTTGTGCCACCAACACCAGTTTCCATAACAATACAGAGAAAATATGGAGGGAAAAAAACTCATTGTTCTTGCTGTTGTGTTTGCACTGCTAATATATACAGTGTCCTCACACTGCATAACTAATGTCCCAAGTTTCCAATTATAACGTCACTTAAAGAGCTCCCAGAAGTCAATCTGTTTCATTTAGCATGGCGGTTGCTAAGGTAACAGTTCAGGAGAAACATTTACTTACATATAGCAAAAACCTCATGAATGCATGCATGACTAGATAATGATTCCATTGTACTCAATACATAAATACAGCAATGAGATTCTGAAGCACTACAGGCTTTTCACTTACATCATTAAAGCAAGGGAAACTTACTCACTGGTCATTACTCATGTCAGTGCTATATTATGCATATTATCCGTGGTACCTCATCTTTTCTTTGGCTTCTTCAAAGCTTTCAGAGACAAAGTACACATCCTGGAAGGTGGTAATGAGGCATTCTTGAAAGCATGTGGTCCTGGGGTCAAATGGCTTTACTGCAGCCTTGTCTGAAAGCGCGTGCTGTGGAGACAGAGTGGGAATCAACAGGGAGACAGGGCCCTCCCCCGAGCCACATGCCGGACCAATAGGGAGACAGGGGAGTGACCCAGGTCAGTGAGAGGGGCGGTACCTTCAATTCTCCAATAGAAGACAGTAGTCCCGCCCCATAGGCTCTCAGCTGTCCGTCCTGCTTACACAGGCCAAACTCGATGGTGAAGAAGTAACACTGTGTGAAAGGAGATCAAATGGTGAAGGGAGAGGGCTCAAACAGAATTTAAAAAAATTAAGAGCTGATATTCATCCTTCTGTGTATGTGCCTTTAAGACAGCAAGCTTAGGGAACGTTAAATTCCGACAAGGCAAGTCAGAGATTCGAGAATCTTTATTGAGCATGGAAAACTGTCCAACCACATCTGTATGTGAATCCAGCAAGATGCCAATGAAACAGACCCCACCTGGGGGGTCTACATGGGCCTCCGGTGACAGACGGATCACCAAAGGCAGCAGATGTGCTGCCAAGCTACCCAGATGCTGGGAAAACTAGTATCCATACTGTAGTATCCATACTGTAGTATCCATACTGTAGTATCCATACTGTTTCTCTTGACCTCATAACTGACATTAAATTGCTGTCACTCCAAAGGTCAAAAGGTTGCGTACATATGAAACTGCAGCCGTCTCCAGGGCAGGAGTTACCATAAATATTATTAACATTAATATTTATTATGTAATTCTGTCATGTGGATGTTTCACAATTAAACTCTGTTTAAGTTACTGTCTTATTCTCTGAATGATTAAAACATGCTTTTGCATGTATTATCTTACTTTTGTTCATTGCTGATCAAGATGGATCGTCATTGAAAAATCCCACAAAGGAACTAGCGAGACCATCTTGCCGCCATCTTGCACATCAGTTTTGGCACAACTGCCGAGTCTCAAAGGTTCAATCATGAATTTCTCTGAGACGATTTTACAAGCACCTGCGCAGCCTGAGAGAATCCGGTCTACCGATGGGGGAGACATATTGTTGTCACTCCTCCCCCTGCGCCTCGTAGCCTTCGTTTGGCGTTGACTGCCTTCCCGCAGTCATGTGACATGTGGACATGCACATGCAGAACATCACACGCGGGAAATATCACCCAGCTCAGGAAGCTTATCCCCTCACCTCCATAGGTCAGCCTCTCCCTCCTAGCTGAACTGGGATGCCACCCAGGTATGTTTGCTGCCAATAGAAAAGAATAATTCCGAGGAACGACCTCGCTATCAGGCAGGAGGCAAAGAGAACAATTAGCCCCAGCCTGAGTTTAGCTTCCGCGTCACGGTATCGGCTCCCACAGGAGAAGCTGCGATTCATGTAACATCTCAGTTACTTTCATTCAGGAAGAAAGGTGCTCCCTGCAGACATTGCCAAACAAAAGCCCCATCCGCCGCGAGAAAGCGAGTCCATCCTGCTAATAGCCTTTATCCGTAACACCCAGGGGCCGACATATCCCTGTAGAAGGGAGATAGGTAAGACCCGCCCCTTAGTGAACGAGCCATCAGCAGTCTGGGGTCCCTCCCTCGCAGCCTCCCCACCAGATCTGCCCGGAAAGATAGAAGAAGGTTCCGTGAATCAGCGGTTAAGCGCCCTGCTTTGAGTCACATTCACCTTCTGGCCAAGTACACAAGTACAACAGGAAACTACTGATATTGCATCTTCTTCCCTGTATCTCCTTTAGTTTAAACCAACCACAGAGCCATAAGAATGGAGCTCCAATGCACTAGGACACAAAAAAGTAACAATTACTTATCACTGGGGCTGTACCCTCAAGGGTCTGCCAATTGTACCCTAGCTGTAGTTAAATGTAACTTTTAAGGTACAGAAATGGACCCTGAGGAACATTGTTGTACCATTGGGGAAACTTTATTGTTTTTTGTATCTTGGGGAACAAATCTGTACCAGGGCTGCATGCTTTTTCTGCAAGTGTAAGACATAAGGTTTATTGTTTATGTTCATATAATATTATATTCTAAGGTTTAGCTTTAACGTTGTATTATTTCATGTGTGTTGTCTGTTGGCTTTAATTATATATTCAGTTACGCTATTTAAAATATAAATAGCGTGAACAGAATGTGTCGCCGACTGCCTGTTAGCGTTGACTATCATTATTGTGACAGGATGGTGTTCTGTGATTTTCTGAAGGTGAGCGATGCTTCTGTTCCAGGCAGAGGCTTGCAGGGATGTGACGGTACATTTGGAAGCACTTTCCCAAGCCCCTGCCACCCTAAAGTATCCCACCAGAGGGATTGGAGAGCAGCACGCTCTTGCATCAGCAATTCCATTGTCATGCAGCTAAAATGCCAGAACTGGCAGACGCAACGCCTTTCAAAAAACAAAATATGTTGTGGAAATGCGTTTGGGTGCAGGTCTATAAGAGCTGTGTTGTAAACGTCTGATCACAGAAAAAAACACAAGAAAAGCAGCTCATCCTTATTAACCTCCTTGTCACATACTTCAGTTATAATCGGTGTTAGTTGCATAAGCAGATCACTCACCACTTGAGTACTTTCAGTCTCTGGAATTGCATGCATTTGGTGATTTAATCACTCAGTTTTGCCTTTTTGACACTCTGATCCCAAGTTACTCCTTCTTTCTCCGTCTCTCTCCCCAGAATAAATGACGTGAGTCTACAGCAGAGTGGCCAGAGTAGAGGGAAGCTGTGATCCAAACCGTACCGTTCGGATTTCGCGGCGCCCCGTGAGGTCGGCTTCCTTACCGTTTCCTCAAGCTCCATTAATCCCCGCTTTTGTGTCTTAGCCGGAGACCCTGCAGCCCACTGCTCAGTGCCTACTCCATAACATGGAGCATCATTTTTTGTGCAATTCCGGGCTCATTTTAAAATTTTTCATTTGCAGATGGTTAAAGATTTAATTCAAACCATATAGCTAAAATGTCTTGACTCTCGCATCCTATATCTCACATGACAAGGGCAGGCAGCTTTCCGAGAGGCAATACGGCTTCATTAAAGAAGGCCTCAGGCCTTCTCGTCTCCAACACTTCCCCGAACTTAACAGGAGGCATAAAGTATTTTGCTTTACGGTGGCTTCCTGGCCATATTTCAGTGTTCCTTAAACGTACCCCAGTCTGACAGGCCGGCATTAGTCACCGAGAGCGCAGCCTGAGTTACAGCCCTGCACGCGTCCTTGCCCCAGTCACCCAGGGCGCTGTCCCCAAGGTACTTGCCGAGCGAGTTTGGGATTTTACTTTAACGGCGTTACGTGCCAGTCATCAAAGATTGGGGCAACCCACTAAACCCCCCCATCTGCTTCACCCTGCTGCTCATTGAAAAAGCCATCATATCAGGCATGTAGCTATGTAGTAAAACAGTTTAAACACCCCCTCACTCACCCATCCCACCCACAAAATTTATTTGCTCTCGATTAGCCAGGTAGTAAAATCACGGGTTTGGTCCCCGTTCAGCAAGATGTACCAAAGAGGACCTATAAGTTGGGTTCCCCCCCTATAAGTTGGGTTCCCCCCCTATAAGTTGGGTTCCCCCCCTATAAGTTGAGTCCATTTCCTCCCTCCCCCCCATTAAGGGGCCCTTATCATGTAATGTTTTCGTGTCTTCGTCGTTCCGTAATATCCAGATTCATGGAACTCGCCTAAGGTACGACACTCTTACAGCATCTTCGAAACACATTTCGGGTCAGTCCGTTTCTCATTATACTACACACTGGGTGATAAGAATTTGTAAAGTAAAAAGAATGACCACAGTAGGAAAAAAAATTTTCACATAATTTTGTAGCAGACTAACACCATTTGACAAAGGGTGTTAATAACACAATGTCACATTATCTATTCAGTTAACACACTGATTTGGCACAAAATAACTTGGACTAACATAGTCAGAGCTAGAGTTATGTTTGAAATGCTTACAAACTGTCATGAATGCTAAAATAGTATAGATGATAAAGCACAGGAAGAAAAAGTACCACAAACTAGTTTCCTTTCAATTGGCAGACCGGTGTAAACGGTGTAAAATTCAGGCTCAGGCAGGCGGTAATGAAAAATCATAACCCTGCCCATCAAAACCATACCATGAAACAGCTCCGTTATGACATGGGTCTATCTCAAGCACTGACTGGTTACTCTGCATTAGGATAAGCTGTGCAGGTCTGATTAGCACTGACAAGTAATTAAGAAATTCAACACAAATATGCAACATGAATAGCTAGCTATGCCCTTAGTATTCATACTTATGTGTTCTGGAATATTCCATATTTCCCTGGTGTCCATGCCGACTGAGGGCCTGAAGAGCTGCCAGTATGGGGATGCAGTGTGCAGTGGTCACATGACTGCTGTTCCTTAAAAGCATCGCACCTCTCAGCAACCTTATCTGGCTCCTACAGCTGTGCCCGTAGAAAGTGGAATAATTGGCACTTGGCTATTGAACCCAGGAGTACCCCTCCCCCATACACAAAGCTATTCTTGGGGGGGGGGGGGGTATTTAGACGCAGAAAACACAACCATCACTCGCGGGAATACCGTCAAAAATGACAGGGAAGAGAGAGGCAGGGAAGGCAAGCGTGCGGCCCGCTCCCGGCAACGTTCTCGTGTGGAAACTCAGAAGCGTGAGTGCCGCGGGAGAGCAGAGCCCCCATCTCCTGTCAGGCTTAAATTAATTTCCCCCAGCTATGAAGCAACCCTTTCTCCACCTGCCCCTCTGCTGCCCCCTGGTGGTGGCCCCCTCATAGCTGTGGGGCACTTCATTCTGCTGCAGTTTCAGACATGCTAATGTGCTTCTCCAGCTCGTTTTCCTGAGTTACATTTGTGTCTGCGATGGCTGAGGTTTATATATACCTGCTTTACATGGATAATGAACTGATGATAGATAAATATAGCATCATTATGCTTTCTTCGTTATTTGCTTCTTTTAAATTAAAAAATTAAATTAATTTATTTATTATCAGTATAAAGTATAATTGTCTAATCCAGAGTTTCACAACCCCTTCCTCAGGGACCCCGAGACAGCCCACATTTTTGCTCCCTCTCAGCTGCTAATACACTTTTATCAGGTATTCGGTGTTCTTCACTGGCTGGGAGCTGGGAAGGAGCGAAACCGTGTACTGTCTCGGGGTCGCCAAGGACAGCGCTGAGAAACATTGGTTTCGAATTCCGCAGCTTCAAATTGTACTGGAAGCCGCACAAAGGTTCAAACAGCCTGCCGTGTCAAAAAGCAGACGTGAAGAGCTTCACTTGGGGTCAGTGCTATTGCCCCATCTTCCACACAATTCTGCTTCCCTGTTATCCGTTGCTAATTCGGTGCAGTGGCAACGGAAAAATCCTGCTTATCGCAACATAAAATTTGACCCTCGAATTTTTGCAGTCAGCAAAAGCAGAGGAAGGTTCTATTGCATAGATGTGTTTTTAGTGCTCTGTCGCTCTAAAAAGCCCCCACTGTGCAGCACGCCATCACTGTAGACAGTGAAATCTATTTACCCACGGCAACACTGCGTCCCACACCCAGCCAGCCTGTTCTTAAGCACTGCGTAGCTCCTCTGCACTCTGATACGAGTTAAGGGAAGCAAAGCATTGTCTCATGCAGCCTTTGGAGCTGGCCTCTCTCAGGTGGGCCCCACTGTGGCCAAATCACTGCCTCAGGACCCCCAATCCATAACGTCTCGCTCACCCGTAGATTGTCCAATCTTTCCAGCTCGCTCTCTGAAGTCACAGAGACCTCTACCGCTGCTTCGCCTCACGCGGTCAGCTTTGTCACTCAATCCGTGACACTTGCCGCTGAGACACTGTCTGCTTAATTTCCATTAATGTGGGGGTGGGGGGGCAAAGGGTTTAAACGCAAGCTAGAGGATGAAAGTGTTGTTCAGAGACAGGGGATTAAGCCTGAATCGTAATGAAATTATCACGGTGCATAACCGAATCCACACAGCTGAACCGGATTTGGATATTGGGGGGGGGGGCTCCACAAGAACAATCTGTGCCTGTCGACCTTCCCGTTGTGTGAGTCTGTTTACAGCCCCTCAGAACATCTGTGAAATGCACAGCGGTGCAGCGTCTTCGCCCGGAAACAGGTGGACATTCAGGAGGCGAATATTAATCCTGCACCATACGATCAATACACCGAAGAACAACAACGCGGCGGACAAAACATCCACCACGCTGTGTCCGCATCACCGCGAGCTCCGTTAATGCTTGCGGATTTATTCGGGAATCTTTCAAACAGCCGGGAACATGGGAGAAGATGCAATTATTCTGCTCTGTGCCGGAAAGATCTTGAGGGCAGGAGGCTGAGCTGAACCACGCTGCCCCTCCTCCCCGTCCCCCCAACACACCTGAGGCAGCTGCACCTGTGCACCAGTGAGCGCGGCAGTCATTAAGGAAAATGAGGTGTCCTATTTAAGGCTACTAGACGCCCCTGCACAGTGCTAATCGCCCTGTCGGCTGGCCCAGACAGCACCACGGCCTGTTACGGCTCCTCCGTCGCAGGAAGCCACACGGCGCCTCACACGCGCCTCACACGCACCGGCTGATCTCACGCCCGGCTCATCCGCCCCTACGAAATCCTCTCGGGAAACAAACACATTTAGAGGAAATTGATTTACTGAAGCGCTGTTAATTAAACCCCCAGATGAAATTGTGCCTGAACTCGGCCGCTGGCCTGTTAATAGTAATTACTGTGAGAGAAGTTAACGTGCACTAATTATGGCTGACTCACAGTGAAATCGCCACGGCGTCCAGCAATGCAGATAGTACACAATGACTGGGCGCTATCTCCAGCCAGACGATATGTTCATGATGGCATTATATAGAGTGTATGTGGGAGATCAGCAATGGGGATTGAATGGCTTTTAAGACATGACTGTGGGTAAGATATTCTGAATTTATTGTTAATTAACAACTACACTCACAACTAACATCTTATTGTATTACTATATGGCTATGATTATTCTAATACTTAAGTCTTACATTGCTTTTATGTTTTTCTATTTTTATTTTCCAAACGTTGGCTCACACTGAACTGTATGTAGCCCTCTCCTGGTGAACAGCTCGACTAATAAATATGTCTAGGGAAACTTACCTTACCACCACGGTAAAATTATGAAAGGAGAGTTACACATCACGTACCTTTAAACCCCAAAGGACAGTTTACAGCTAAGCATTTAGCTGTTATCTACCACCCCGGATTACAAANTGTATAATCATTTATATAATTTACCCCTGATCTTATGATGATATCATGGCTACCGCCACGTAAATATCAGATATTACTTATCATGTTAGGTATTTGAGGTAAGCAATTAGATGTTTCCAGCAGCAAAACTTTGTAGAAGATTAAATACCTAGTTCAAAGGTACAACAGCGGATACATACATCCAGAATTGCCAGCAATGTGGTTAGCATTCAGTGCCCTTAAGTGCCATGCCCCCTGCTGGTGACTTAATGGCCGGTGTGAAGGCGTGTGGGGGGGCTCACCGTGGCCAGCTTCTGTACGTCCTCGTCCGACGCCCCCAGCGAGGCCAGGCCGATCTCCTGGGAGAACTGGGCGAACTTGGGATCCGCCAGCAGAGGGACGTGTCCCAGTAGCTCGTGGCACGTGTCCCTGGAAGAAGACAGAGCCACCAGGGGGTGTCACATGATGGGCCGTAAGACGGTGTGGGATGGGGATGCACATCACGTCACACACAATGGGCAGTGCCTGCTGAGCTGGAAATGCATGGATCCTTAAATGAAGTCACCTGGAATTGTCCACTTGCCTTCCTGCCCTCATAAAACAGCACCTCTATGTTACGACAGAACAGGGACTTTATCTCCACACAGAGCCTACAGCCAGCTGGCGATTTTGCTTCTTTACAGGATTCCGAAACCATTCAAAACACTCCATTGACATTCAAGCCTGGAGAGATGTCTGTTCTCTTAAAACGATCCCATTGCCTCGTGAAAAGTCGTCGTGGGGAGCACGTCCATTTACTGAACACGCATGCCCCCCCACCCCCCGCTCCAAGGCTTCGAATTTAATCAGAGCATAGATATTTATCTCAATTAATGATGCCGTCCACGGGATTTGCAAATGGAGAGAACAGAGACATAATAACGAAAGCCATTCTGGGGATGAACGTGCCATAACGGACAAATCAGATTAGCCTAACAGGTGCTGTCCTGCTTTCAGGCCACAGGCTGCATTCATTAGAGAAGAATCCATTACTTGTACCTACCATTTTATGTGATTTTATTTACATAATAAAGAACAAGCATACTGATGGTTTTTCCCATTGCACAGAACATGCACAGGATGACAGATGTAAGGAAAATGATCACATGTTAACCTGAGGGCTGCTTGTAACTGATTTAAACTCAGTAAATGGGTTTTTTAAATGTAAGTAGGCAGTGGAGGCAACATGAGCATTGAGAGGGCATCCGTAAGAGCAGCAGAGCTGAAGATGAGCCGTCCACGGATGGCTGATGGACCAGCAAGGCCTCATCTCGCGTCCGCCGCCATTCCATATGTCTGCGCCAGTGACGAAATGACTGTTTAAAAATCAATAACCCGAATTGTCAGAGCTTAATGGGAACGTAATTGTAAAAGCTGGGTCATGGCGAGATTAATTTCTCATTAATCAGCATTAAACGGCTGCAATCTGAGACAAGTGAGACGTCCGTCTGCTCGGCTCAGCAAGCTGCTCCTTTTCACCACAGTGATCGAGAGTGTCTCACTTCCTGCACTATCACCGCGCTTCACCCCACTGTATGTCTCACTTCCTCCACTATCACCGCGCTTCACCCCACTGTGTCTCACTTCCTGCACTATCACCGCGCTTCACCCCACTGTGTGTCTCACTTCCTGCACTATCACCGCGCTTCACCCCACTGTGTGTCTCACTTCCTCCACTATCACTGCGCTTCACCCCACTGTGTGTCTCACTTCCTCCACTATCACCGCACTTCACCCCACTGTGTGTCTCACTTCCTGCACTATCACCGCGCTTCACCCCACTGTGTGTCTCACTTCCTGCACTATCACTGCGCTTCACCACACTGTGTGCTTTCTAGCCCATCTAACACTTCCTTTTAAATTTCATTTTGAAACCTCTCATCTGAGCGACAAACTTAAAATTAAATTGTCTTCTCCTCTGGATCTCTTGTTAATCGAATAAATTATGTATGAAATGTCAACAGCGTAAGAGCTAGTTCACTTCATCTAAATTCTCCAAACCTACGCAGCAAAGCACACAAATTCAGGGTCGACAAACATTATTTGGAACGATTATTCCTGACACTGCTCTGCCTCCTGCGTAAATAAACATTTTCAGTTTCCCAGAGAGGTGATATTTTACACGTAGCTGTAGCTCTGAAGATTTAATCGCAAACATGTAGCACTGCATCGCTGTTTTGCGTGTCCCACACTGATGATGCATAAAGCAGCTTCTGACAGCTAACTCTATGTATAAAGTTAACTACTTGTCCAGATTCCATAAATGCTCATCCAGTACAGGGTCTCAGTGAGCCTGGAGTCTAGAACTGAGCAGGGGACATACACCCACACAAGATGGGCGATTTATAGATGCCAAATCTCCTGATCGTATGTCTTTGGACCAGAGGACTTAGACTGAGTAGCAGAGAACATACACACACACAATTCCATGCACAAAGAGCGCAGAAGGGAATTGACCCCATAACTCCGGAGGCGTGAGCCTACTGAGTCATGGTGAACCCATAAATTGAATTCATTTCAATTTATTTTTATATAGCGCCTTTCACAACAGAGTCACCCCAAGGCGCTTGACCTGGGTGTACAGTAGTACACATATAGAATTTATATTATTCCTCAGTCTCCATGGTCATTCAGTTTTCCAGATGTATTTCCCATCTCTGTTGAAAAATGTGCTTCTCCATGGAAACCAAACGCTTCTGTTTTCAGTCACTCCCCATTGCCTGTTGATTTACATCACACACCACAGCTAATGTGAAATCTCAGAGCCCGCAGAGCAGTCCGGATTCATATACCGCCGTCTGACCTGGTTCCATGCAAAATATTACCTCAGAATATTATTGTATCTCTCCAGATGCAGGTCGGTGTGGTTCCGTTTCTGCCCTTCAGAGCTGGGTGGTGTGACCTCAGTTTGATTACGTCAGTATTAAGTCAAAGTATCTTTATTGTCATCTTCAGCTGTAAGATCCATGGGTCACACACTGAGATGAAATTTCGATCTCATTGGTCATTGTGTAAGAAACAGTGATAAATAGAATATAAATATGAATATAACAGACATTTAAATAGTGATAATATAACAATGTGAACAATATACTAAGACAGGGACAAGAACCATAGACAGAAAAAAGTTAAAAAAAAAAAAGAAAAAGCTTAAAAATATATATACACACACACAGAGCTGTGCAAATGTGCAATAATACATGTTGGTTACCGTATCCTGAGTGTGCAATTACGGAATTTTTGCTACAGCATTGTGATTCCAGTGCAGAGACAGGGACAGTTTGTCCTTTAGAACAGTGTTGCCCACCACAGTCCCTTGGCCAGTCCACATGTTTGCTCCCTCCCAGCTTCCTGACAGACTGTCCACATTTCTGCTCCCTCCCAGCTCCCTGACAGACTGTCCACATTTTTGCTCCCTTCCAGCTCCCTGACAGACTGTCCACATGTTTGCTCCCTGCCAACTCCCAGTAGCAAAAATGTGGATTGTCTGCAGGGTCCCGAGAATCAGTTTCAGAAACCAGGCTTTGGGATCCTCTGGAGTTTTGCAGTGTAAACATGATGAAAATAAGCCAGGCGTCCATCCAGTTATGTGTTAACATAACAGGCTTCGCACACGAGGACCTGCCTAACATTACTGCTCAAACAACGCCTCCTGCTGTACTGGCCGCTTACCTTCTCCTCCATACCACACTCCCCCCTCAGATGTTTCCATAACCTCATGTAACCTTCTGAAATTACCTTGTCTCTGTGTTCACTTCCTATTTTTCTGTTTGTTTGCAGAACGATAAATGCCATGTTTATATACAATTGTATGTATTTAGGTTTTCATGTGTAACACCACCTACAGGGAGAATTCATTGGACATTCAGATACGCGCTTGGCGAATAAAAATCTTCAGATAACAGATAGTTCTGATAATGTTGGGCAGCTGGAAACCCCTATTAAACCCACGATTTAAACTAAAACACGAGTATGTGAGGCAGAAACACAATCCTCCCGCTATCACAGTCGGCTGGTTGGGCTTAGTTACAGCGGCGGTAAGATGAAATGCGGCCCATCTCTCCGCAGTCAGCACTTACGGTTCAGGCGTGTACAGAGGGTCTTTGCTGTGCCGCACATACTGGGTGCAGTTGAAGACACGGTACGCCAGGCCAGCCAAGAAGTCCCGGGGCGACAGGTACCCCGCCACGGGCCGCACGGTGAAACCGGAACGTTCTGCAATAGAAACAAGGAAATTGACCTGCAGGGGGCGCCAGTCAGCACAACTTTAGTGCTTTCTTAATGGAAAATTATGCTTGGCTTTAGAAGTGAGGGTCAGCCCTTGGGCCTCAGCCAATGGGAACCCAGCATGCTTCATATATGAGCCAATCGTTTCATTTTAGTCATAACGCCCAGCCAATTGCATATGGACTTTTACCATAGAAGGGCATGTCTGAGTACAAGAGTCTGTTTCTAACCTTAAAAAACAAGAAGAGTTCGGACCAGGATTAAATAATTTTCATCTGACCCACCTGAATTCTATATTTATTGCCATTCACATTCAAATTCTACATGTTCAATTCACAGAATCACTCAAACAACAAATAGTATACATTTATTTTGATAACCAGATTCAAAGATACTAATTATAATGCATAAATTTCAATGCAGTTATATAAATGTGGTTATATAATTTGTTATGAATGATGGTAACAGGACTTGTGATGACCAGTAAGCAATCCAGATCAAACTGGGTTTTGTATTCATCTGGGTGTTTCCATCACAAATATCTCTCAAAAAAACAACACATTTGAGTAAAGCAAAGGAGAGTTTCCCAGTGAGCGCCACCGCAAACACGGCATGGGGGGCAGCAGCCAGCTCTGGGGGAAGGCATGGTGAGTCATGGGGGGGGGGGACAGGGGCAGATCACAGATGGGACCTTGTGCCTCAGTGAGGGACTGTAAGCCACATGTATGCTGAACTATACCCACGGGCAGGGGCAATTCTACAATTTTTTTAAGGTGGGGGGCATAAGATGAGCCATAGTTCATACAAAGGGCCAACCTTATTATTAACCAATGATATGCTTTGAATCACTGAGTGACAGGGGAGGGGCTTTCCAGGGGCCAATCAGCTTTCAGCTGGTGCTGGCAACCCTGTGACCCTGCCCCTGTATACACCCCTGGTGGTGGGGGGGAATGGCTATTGTAGGAAAGACTAAATAGGAGGAGAGGAAGTTGGGCCAAGTTGTCAACTCAGTGGAACAAAAGGAAATCACGTCGTTAAGATAATACAGGAGCAGCGGACTCTGCACAGCTGCTCCCCGCGTCCCGTGATGATTCACAGGGACCCGCGAGTGCCTCGAGTGCCAGCAGTCTCATTTAAATGATTCTCTTGGCGCCGCTCAATTCATCAGAGGGAAGGCGGCTGATCAGTCTCTTAAAGAGTCCGTCTCCCGCCTGCCACCGCGACAACGGCTGAATTCATCCCCCGGAGGAGGACCGGTGCAGAATGTGGCGTGACGGAACTCGCTGCACGGCCTTAATTAGAAAGCCCCTCCTGACCTGCTAAATGTGGATCCTTCCAATGAAATATTGTTTTAATATCAGGGAGATCTTACACCCCATTTTACTATAGGTCATGAATGGAAGCACTGTGGCCACCCCCCCAATCTCAACCTGGAACCCTCCCCCCTGAATATGCAGAAGAGTGACGGAGGAGGCTCTCGACATGCGAGGCGAGGTCTGCCAATGGGTGGAGCCAAAATGTTCATGCTCAGTTTGCACATCTGCCTGCAGCTGGGAGTGACGCCTCACAGGAGCACAAGGTTCTGTAACATTAAAGCACTGCACAGTGCACACCTCCCCCATACCAGGAAAGGTGCATCCACTGCACAGTGCACACCTCCCCCACACCAGGAAAGGTGCATCCACTGCACAGTGCACACCTCCCCCACACCAGGAAAGGTGCATCCACTGCACAGTGCACACCTCCCCCACACCAGGAAAGGTGCATCCACTGCACAAATGCATGGCCCTGTGAATTCGGGTCGCCATCGGCATTTCTCCAGCAGATTTCCCCCCCCCAATTGGCAGTAGCGATCTGGCTCCTCTTGTCTTCCCAGCCCCACTGGGTCCGGCAGCCATCTCACTTATTCCTGCATTTGTAGTCGTCCTCACCACATGCCGCCAGCACCGGTTCCATTAAGCAAAATGTATCAACTCGTTGCACAGTCATATTTGTCTTGGTTACGCTTTGCATACCCAAGGGCGTAGTTTTGGTTATACTTTGGTTGGGACCAAATCACCCCTGAACCGTTTGCCCCCTAAAACACACGCTGTACTTCCAAAATATTGGTAAGGACACGTCCCCACCATGCATGTCCAAATGTACTACCTTGGACACACCTGTCTCCAGTCTAGGAGAGTCTGGAGATACCCCAGGAACTAATGAAAAAGGACACACTCTGGACAGGATGCAGGTCCATCACAGGACACACTCTAGACGGGCTGCGGGTCCATCACAGGACACACTCTGGACGGGATGCAGGTCCATCACAGGACACACTCTAGACGGGATGCGGGTCCATCACAGGACACACTCTGGACGGGATGCAGGTCCATCCCAGGACACACTCTGGACAGGATGCGGGTCCATCACAGGACACACTCTGGACGGGCTGTGGGTCCATCACAGGACACACTCACTATAGGCGATTCAGAGAGAACATTTCACCTCACTGCATGTCTTTGGACAGTGGGAGGAAACCCACGCAACAGGGAGGACGTGAGCCCCACACACACGACACTGTGGGCTGCAATCAAACCTGTAACCCAGGAGGAGAGAGGCCAGTACACCACGCACTGAACCACCCTGCTGCCCTCCCAGCCAACATACTATATTCTTTGTGAACTGCAAAACAATCATTCTTTGTTACGGGGGATGTAAACAGCACTTCTGTGTAACCCGACGGTCACCGAAAGCAGAGGCGTGATGCCAAATTGATAAGTGCTGCTGTGGATAGTCTGGAGGCTTCGATGGCCCACCAGTTTAGCTCTGCAAATTTCCCAGAAAGCGACTCTGAAACCATCAAATGTCAATCAGCTGCAGTTGTAGTGCTTGTTCTTAAAATGTTGTAAGAACTAAAAAAGACGCAGCCACTTTAAACTCACATTTGTGTAAAAGTTGTTTTTCTACATATCCAGGCTTATTACAGCTTCAAAAATGCAAGTTTATTCTCCGCACAAAAGCTCCACGGCATAACCACAGCCCCATGACAGGAATACGACTTTATCTAAGCGCGACGGCTAAAGCAAGCTTGCCCTGTCTGTTCCCGCAGCCCACAGGAACAATCGAGTCTCATCCTGTGCCAGGTGGCCGTCATCAACGCTGCCTGTACGAGCGGCTCTGGCTCGTTAGGTTAATTATTCCGTAATAGATACGCTTAACGCCAAGGCAACATTCCATGGACGGAAGTCCGCAGGATGTGTTTTTAGCCGCGGATCCTGGAGGCACATCCAGAGGTCAAAAGAGAGCAATTCATGGAGCATGCAGCATTCTCTCTGCTCAGCCGCAGCTGTGAACATGCTCACCACTCTGCTGAAGCAAGTTATTTTTCCAAAGGCTGTTGGCATCAACTGCAATTCTGTTAAACGTTCAGCCATCAGTGGTGGATTCTGGCAAGGTCAAGTGGCATCTTCTGGTCACCATCACCTAGATTGACGGTTTTTACCATTATCCCCCTTAATTCAGGGTGAAACTGGGCGGTGAACTTTGGGGGGACGGCAGTGCTGGAGCTTTCTGGAGTGGCACATGTGTGGCTATGATGCTTTTAATTGCATTATTTGACTCACACTTCACTGCTACAGAAAAGGTTCTCATAAATATTAAAGGGAAGGTACACTGGGATCATGAGAAGACATCTGGGTATAGAAAGTAGCAGACCAGGCTATACACTCGCAGTCTTAGGGGTCAGAACAGGACCGGCTTCTACGGGATCCTACGCTGTCAGTAACTGACAGGCTTAATCCACTCCTGGTTGGTTACTTCCCCGGTTTCCCGTCAGGGGATTCCAGGCTTGTGGTAATTTTCCCAGCTGCTATTTCCAGGACTTTATCCTACTGCTCTAAATCCAGGCCCAGACTCCATTCGGACAGCCCTGTGTTTTAGGGGCACTGTGCTGCAGAGTGATTATGGATACAGACTCGTAATCCAGAAGCTGCCAGCGAGAACTCAAAGTGAACCACTGCGTCAGTCAGTAGGAACTGATAGAACCCTAACTGATTCAGATAAATTTGGCAGCTGAGGTACTAGGAGAATAAGAGTTCCCTCGGTCTGTGGGGGATATGGGGACAGAAGCCTCTACCTTCTAGATTGTTTTTAAGGGCTCCATTGTCCTCTGTACTACCCTGAGACATGCTGCAAAAAAATGAGAATGAATTCTGTAGACGGCAATGTCTCTCTGCCGACCCAGATGGCTCTGAATCGGCCTCATTAACCACGGTGCCCCCCACAGAGGATAGCCAGATAACACTAAGGTTTCTCTTGAATGAATGGCACCCACATTTGGGGATTTTGCTCTGGTCCGATCTGGGGGGGGGGGGGGGGTCTTTCAGCAACGGTGTGGCTTCATTTTGATGGGCCCCCACTCATTGACGGCTACCCCTGTTTCCTCTTTGAACAGAAAAGAGGATGCTGTTTATTAAAATCTAAGGCACCGTTTGATGACTGTTTCTCCTCTGATAGACTGTGGCATAAATTTCACTCACACAGGCCGAGTTTTACATGAAATATACACACAGGATATAATAGCAACAAGGACAAGAACTCAAGTAATCTTGAGACATTTCTCTTGTCTCTTGTCTCTTGTCAAAACCTTTGGTTAGACACCGAAGATAAGGTAAGGGTAAGAGAACTAAGATCAGTCAAAGAAATCCCTGCATGTCATAAATTCAGAAGCTGAGGTTGACGTTGACATGGACGACACAGGTAGCATGTTGGAATTTACCTCTAAGGAAGAGTGACACGTCCTCCAACTGGGGGATATTGTCCTCCCGATACCCACAATGCTTTGTGAGAAGTGGAAGGTTCTTCAGGTACTCCCGGCAGGCGTGGGTGGGGTAGAGCTTGGTCAGTTCACGAAACACAACCCCCCACGTCTTCACCTCGTCAGACGAGTATTCGACACGGGGAATCGGCTGTCCGCTGTTGCGTGGGGAGACGAGAGGGACAACAACATAAGGGACACGCACAAGTAGGCGCCCACTGACTCCGCTCTCCCTGGGGGGCCAGCCGTCGCATCCTGTGAGTTCAGCTCCCTGCTGGAGTTTATTCTCCACAGACCGAGATGTTTTCCCCTCCTGTGGAGCAAAGGCATTGGCTGGCTTTATCCCCTCGAGCCACCTCGGTCTGCGGTTTTTTTTTCTTTTCCTGCCCCTAACCTAATCTCATGACTGCGAAGGAAAACAGAAAACAGCAATGAATAAATCGCTCTGCAAAGCAGGCTCTTTGTAATTCCTTCAAGGCATGTTCACTTTTCCTTTTTTTTTCTCTGACATAGTCAGAGCCTAGAAGTAATTTCTTCCAGATGGTGGGAGGCCTGTTACACCTAGAACATGGGCCTCAAGAACCCTCCCTGTGATAAACACTCAGGACCACCAGATGAAGTATACACTCATCATAGGTATTGATTACCCCCTTTGCCTATATAACTAAAAATCTGCTCATTGATGTCTACACACCAACTGGTCTACAAGACCAAAACCATCTGGCCACCATGCAAAATAAAAATAGCTAGACAGACAAATGCTTTTGATTGCAGGGCAACATATTTTTAAATGCAATTTTCATTCATGAGTATTCAGACATTTTGGTGTTTAAATGACAAATTTTTTTCAGTATCTTTTAGATTAACACTCTTTATCATTATTTTATCGTTATACTTGCATGTCACCATAGAGCGTTACAAAGATGTCGTGTAGGAAGGCTGACGGCTTATTACACTATAACTAGCTGAAACACAGTATTTCCTGTTTACAAAGCATATAGCTCCACATTCCACTAAATGAGTTTGACGTCTGTTCTGTTCGGTATCGTATGTGCCGCGGGCATCCAAAAATCAGCACACATGCTTCATTCAAGGCGCGATATTTCGCCTCGGCAGCGGAATCGAGTGACAACGTAGCCACCATCCACCACGCCACTTGTATCTGCGTGTGGATCTTCCTGTTCGCTCTTCTTTCCAGAGGGATTCATCATTAAACGTTAATTACAAAGCCAGGAAACTGCAGCATCTGCAGACTCTCTTCCTAGAGCACCATTCCACGTCTCTGACCTGCTTCCGATTGCAGGCCACACTTGCGGTGAATAATGTTTGAATACTTTCAAAGCCTAAGGGCCCTTTGTCAGTGAACATTGTGACAGTACCACACATCAACACAGAGTCAGCTTGCAGTCGTGGTACCGTATCAGTTTCACTCTTCACTGCCGTGTTTTAAATTACACCATCCCTACAATGCACAAATCAAAGCAAGCCCAAAACGGAGCTCATTTTCTATGATCTAGGCTGTGTGAAAATGTCCTCTGGAGGCTCTGGATGCTTCTCAGCCCAGAAACCTCCCCCACTTTGAATCTTCTACAATGATGGGAGTGCAGACATATCGGTAGGATCACATCTTTGCATAAGCTATATGAGTTTGGTCTTTTTAATCACTGATCTAAGAGGTTTTAATTATGCGCTCTCCAGCCAAATGACAATTTAATTATACTTAATTAGATAATTAGAAAATGGACTCTCCAGTTAACTACCTTATTTAACACTTGCATATCATTTCTGGATTCCTTATGTAAAATGTGAAAACATAATCTTCATTGATAACTTTCATAAACACTCAAGAGACCTGCTAAATCTCTCAAAAATTGTACTTATATAAATGAATTAATAAAGACATAATGGTAGAGGGAAAGAGAAGAACCATTTGCTGTGTTAGCAGAGATATTCATGTGTTCATCTTTCAAATGTGTGTGCTTTGCTATGGCCAGCTGGCAGGAACACACACACACACACACACACACACACACACAACAACAACAACAACAACAACAACAACAACAACAACACAGGCAAAACTACAAGCTTCCAAGATTCAGATGGATGCAACAGGTCTCTGTGGTTACGCATTTTTTTCCACTTTTTCAAAGACAGGGTCATGGGAGTGGAGGTGGCTGCCCAATATGAGTTAAAGCAGTCTTTGGATCCGTTATCGACCAGTAATTAGCACTGTATAATTAGTGGAATTTGTTGCTGAAAGTATGTTAATTGCTTAGTAAATCTGAACAATAGAAACATTCTCTGCAATTTCATAAAATTTATCCCAGGAAAAATGTCTAATTAATATAAAAGCAGTTACTGAAATGATTTTGAGTGAGTATTCTACATTTTCATATTCTTTGCATGTTATTCAGGCTACTGAGGGATGTCTTTTTTTTATTAAACTGCACTGGATTTAAGACACTGGATATAAGATTAAAGGCTAGATTTAGGGCAGGTTTATAACTTTCTTATCAACTGTTTAAAACTGTTGAGAGGCACTGAAGCAAAAAATAACCACATGTTAGCAATGAAGCTAACAAGTCGGGCCCGTGTCCTGCCACACTGCAGTGGGCGTCCATCTTGGCAGCCCAACAGCCTTAGGCCGAATCCTGAATACTGAACGGGGAGCCGTGTGAGACGACACTCTGCTGATAACCTTATCCATCCAAACAGTCCCACACTGAGTACAACACCTGGGCTGGAGTAAAGCACAGAGCGGGAGATGCTAGCATTTTCGAGTTTATTGCATTTCCGACATGACTCTCCTGGCGTTTTGACGAAAGAGTCTACGGCGAATTTAGGCATCTTGTGAAGACCTGCAGTGAGTGGCATGTCGTGTCGGGAGAAAGCGGGAACATACGCTTAGTGAAGCAGATGTCCTACTTACAACTTGTAGTTCATGGCCACCTCCACAAAATATTTCCTCCGTTGGCGGTAAACAGTGTCCTTAAAGCCCTGAAACAGAGGAAAGAGGGTCGTCACGCGCCCCAGCATGAGCATAGACAGCTCCCGGAGTTCCGAGTCTCATCCAGGCCAAAGGAGGTGTGCAGGTTTGCTGGAGACAAATTACAGGCTGAGTGGCCAACCAGTCCCAGGCCATAGCTGGACATTATTCATTATCCAATGTCCACAACTGATCAATTAGAGAAGACAACAATGTTCAGGACACAAGACACTGTTTATTCTGATCTTTCTGCATCCGTATGTCTGTACACGCTTTGGCGAGAAAATCCTCTGCTTTTCCACACTCACGATGCAAACACAATTCAGATTACGGATCACACAAGTGTGTGAAATCCCGTTCCGCCTTCAGCGATGGTTCGCTTTCACCTGTGTGCCGAGGGGTGATGTAAGGCAGCCCACCGCCAGGCGGATAATCGGCTGCTCTCAGCGCAGCTCTTCATGAGAGCCCTGTAAACACAGACTGAAGCCTCGCGACTCCTTTTAGCACCTGGGTGAGGAGTGTACAGCCTCCACACCCCAAAGACCACAACAAAAAGTGGCCTATTCAGCTGACTCTCCTCATTAATCCTCACAAGGTACATTTCCCTCAAAACGTCATGTATCCAGCCAAAAATTATATATTATATAACAGCAAAATATTATATATAAGAGAGATGGTTTATTCTTTATATGTCAAATGCAAAAATTCATCAAGTTTTGTTTTCTTTTTGGTTTTGCTTTTGGTTTCTGCAAAACTAGAAAAAGGATATTTTTCACCCATAGTCAGATAATTTATTTGACATGCCTCATCACATTTTGTCAGAGTTTAAGTATCTCTCTAGCTACCCAAAAGGTAAACGGCACTTCGTTATTTTCAGCAAATGAGCTCATCGGAGACAGCAGATGAGTGATGAAGTTTCTCGTGTTAAAGACAGGAAACAGACAAAACACAAGGATCATTGAGAGTCAGTCCAAAGACACATTTAAGGTATTTCAGTTGACAACACTGCATAAGTGTAATAAGGTTTTCCTGGACCACATTGTTCAGTTATTGCTATACACAGGTATCCATCGACTTTTGTCTCGGTTTTGCCCGGAACTGAGGATGTAGGTGAGTCTGGACGTATGCTGACCATTATAGGGGAGCGGTCATGACATAAGATACAATGTAACATACATTTATCTAAACTTCTGTAGTGGCGGCGCAATCAGTTTATTGCGGTTCTTGCCACATGCCGCACGCCGGGTATAATATGTTGACTCATGTCCACTATGTCTGCTTCAAATGTTTCTTGATAAATTTTATTAAGGCTCCTGTGAGACATAGAATCGAACATGACTTGGGCGTAAGTTGATGGATGACTGTACTTGTTTTTAAATAATGGTTCAGTTTTTCACATTACAATCACCGTACAGATTGACACTCTAATTCTCCATCTTTGATTACCATTATTTTGCACACGTGTATCAGGAAACATGTCTGACAAAGTCAACATCCAGCCCCTCCCAGTGCAAGGGGAATGAGTTCAGGTAATGTGCAGTCTAACAGGGTATTGGAGGTTCACACTGGCTGTGAAGAACATCAACAAAATGACAAAGGAGACGCTCCCATGCTCCCTTACCGGGTGGTCAGCATCCAGTTCCGAGCCGTACATTAGCACCCTGTGGGAGCACTGGTCCAGCTCGGAGATCTTCCTGGGGAACCACGGAACTCCATCCAGTTCTGCTGCCACGAGAGGATAAGACGCAGTGTGTGAGGCATCTTCATAGCCCCAACCTCCCTGCTTCATGGGACACAGTTGTATGAAACATTTTAACAGTATATAAAGGCGAAAATGTGGGTTATGTTTATTAGTAGAAACACTGTTTAGCACTATGCATATGTTGTATCCATCCAGCCACCCATCCATCCATCCATCCATCTATCCATCCACCAATGTTCCTTAATAACCAGTTATCCAGTAAGAGGACTCATTGAGCCTGGAATCTAATACAGGAAACACAGGGCACAAGACACAAGAAATTCTGGATGGAATGGAAGTAGATTCTATATCGGTCATACAATTATTTATTTTTATATACGTTTGCATATACAAAGTGCTGTATTATGAATTACTTTATGTCTTGCAGAAATAACATGAGATCGTTGGAAGAGCTCTGCTGAGCTGGAGGAGAGAGAAGAGGAAACGGGAAGTGCTGGATTTGTTTGTGCAAAGTCGATTAACCTTAAAGGTTCTTCGTTATACCCAAAGGGGTCTGTTTCTCCTTTGTATCATGCCAAAAACTGAAAACAAATGCTTAAAAATGAGCCTCCTTGATTCAATGAGCCTCCCAGACACCCCCGTAGCTGAACACAAGATGCACAAGAAGGCCCCCCCGTCCAGCTCGCCGTTCAAAGTTTGCTTTTTTCCCTGCTCACTTTCAGGAATCATATAAAAGAGCAAATTAAACCAGACACCACACGACTCCAATGGAGATGATGAGATCACAAGGTGATTCGGACCCCAGGATGTAAAAAGGAAGACAGTGTTATAATGAATCCTGCTAGCAATCCAAGTGCATAAAATAACCTCCTTATGAGGAATATGCCTGGGAAAGTAACATCATGTCAATTATGTGAGATATTGAAGTAGCCTTTTAATTTCATAAAAGATAATTAAATTAACAGATGAGGATCTCACAGGCCCCACTGATGTGTAATGTGATATGGTCAGTAGACAGATTGTAATGGCAAAGGATAGCATGAATACTTTGTGTGACATTGAGGACAGTGGGGACAGAATGAAGGCTGTGTATGACACTGAGGACAGTGGGGACAGACTGAAGGCTGTGTGTGACACTGAGGACAGTGGGGACAGACTGAAGGCTGTGTGTGACACTGAGGACAGTGGGGACAGACTGAAGGCTGTGTGTAGCTTTTACAGACCCAAGGACTATGTGAGGAAGACACTGTCACAGTGAGGACATCATGAGGACAGTGTGGTGACAGTGAGGACAATGTGAGGTCTGTACATGACAGTGAGGACAGCGTGAGGTCTGTACATGACAGCTAGATATAGAGAGAACATTACGATGGCAGCGAGGTCTCTATGTGATGGTGGGGGGGGGGGGTGCCCCCAAGACCCACCTTCCTCCTCCAGCCAGATCTGCTCTGGGGGGTCCAAAGAAATGATGCTGATGTGCTGCTTCAGGTGCTGCACCAGCTCCCCAAACTCACGCCTGCTGCAGCTGCAGTCAGCATAGATCTCCACCTCGGATGGCCTGCGCTTGGACCTGCGCGACTCAATGTGGACCAGGTTCACATGCTTCTCCTGGAGTCAACAAAACATGGCATCTTAGCCAATCCTGTTACAACTAATCCTATGCAAGTTCATTATTTAAAGCACTCAAAGCCGCAGGACAGACAAGTTTTAAATGAATTTTAAATAATATTATTATCTTTATGCTTAATCTTTGACTTATGTGTTTCAAATACCTTAAGGACACAAAGACATGGACTACACTGCCACCTGTGGTTTCTTAGTGAACTGCAACATTATCTCTGAAACATTTCAAACATTGTAACAATCCAGAAACTCAATTTTACAGGCTGTGTGATTTATTTTCATTGCACTGTTAAACTGGATTTTTATCACCAGTTTCAAAAACAGGAAGTGCAGAAAACAAGATTGATTTGTGGGAACCAACACATACAGCTACCGTAATTCACATTTCAGCTGAGACTAACTTGAGTTTTGAGAATTGAGTAAGTTGATGATAAACTAAAAGACATTATAATCTTTTTTTTTGGGTATTTATGAAGGAAGGTATCATCCATCCATACATCTGTCCATCTTTCATAACCATTTATGCAGTGCAGGATTGGGGGGGTGGAGTCTATCCCAGGAAGACAGGAGACACCAATCCATCGCAGGGCAGACACCCACACAGACTCACAAATACAATCGCACACTACGGGAAGTTCAGAGAAACATGAAGGACATTCACACGCACATTGTAAGAACATGCAAACGGCACACATGTCCCCCTGTAGGGGAAACCATCAAGGTACCACACAAGAGAATTACAGCTCCAGGTTCAGTTTACAGTTAGTGATCGTTTAGAGCTCATTATACGTGTGAGAGCGACAGACTGCAGCTTCTGTTTCGTTCGTTTTTGGTTGTAGTGAAAGTGTCTATTTTGTATGCTGCTCAGGTTACCTGCCCATCAGCCCCCACATGTGCCAGTAATATACCCCCCCCCGGTATCTCGCCGATCTGCTGCTGTCTGCAAGCTCGAGTTTGCTACATGTGCATCTAGTAAATGTTTTTTAACCCTCCAGAGAGGAGGTTTTATCCCACATTAATGCAGAACCGAGCTTTCACTTGTAGAAATAGCCTTCATACCCTAATCTAACACGGTGATTATATATAGCTACTTCACAACAAACACTATTTGATTTCAAGTGCGCACAAAGTATAAAAGCATTTCAGCTGATGAGACAATGAGATTTTTATGATTTTCCAGAAAGAGGCTTATGTGTTTCCATGGCTCTCGCAAATTACACACAATCACACTCGTAATCATCCCCTTACAGGCACTTCAGAAGTAAGACACTGAAGAAAGCTTGTCCTCAATTCAAGGGGCTGTTTTCTGGGCACAATGGCACAATGATTGAAGCACTCAGAGTTTTCTTTCAAAAACACGCTGTTGATAATGTTCAGTTATTGGACTTTCGTTCTCATGCTGCACAAATGATTTAAGCTTTTCGCTTCTTGTCATAATGAACCCGTGCATCAGGGGGCCCGATGGTTAAGGAGCTGGACTTGGGAAAGGGAGCTGCTTTTTGCGTTGCTTCTCCCAAACTGTTGTCACTAAACCCCACTAAGGTACATTTTTAAAGGCACAGTAACATAAACTTGCCATGTAAAGGTGCCATCAAAATCCCTGTGGAAAAACAAAATAAAACGTAAATTAAAACATAAGGGCAGCTCGGCAAGGGCAAGACAGGCTTTAAAATACACACCCATAATATAGTAATTATATGCATAACATTTTAGGTTGCTGACAACTATAGACTGTCTCATGTAACTGGCTGACCCCCTGTTTTAGCTTGTCCCCCTCCAACTGTCCAGCAGGGACTCTGTGTTCTCCTGCTGGAGAACTGAACAGATTTCCTTGAGAAAGGGATGTGTAATATTGTCTATCACAGTGTTTCTCACACCAGTCCTTGGGGATCCCCTCTCAAGCAGAAACATGGACCATCTTGGGGTCCCCAGGGACTGGTTGGAGAAACACTGGTCTATCATTTTCCCAGAATATGATGAAGACCCAAGTGTGAAGTAGCTCCTCTTTCTGTGTGCCGCTCAAGTCCGATCGTGTGTCCATGCGCACGTCCTGTACGGGGCACCCACCTGAAAGAGCCGCAGGGCCCGCACCAGGCAGCCCACCTCGTTCTTGAGGGCGAACACCACGGCGGTCTTGCCCGCGTCTTCAGCCTGCGGCTCACCCACCCCACTGGGCTTCTCCTCGATGCGGGAGAAGGAGGGTCTGCGGGTCTGAGCGACAGACGACAGCCTGAGCCCCCGGACAAACACGCAGACCACAGCGACTTCCAGCAGCGGTGCCAGATCCCAGAGCTCACTGCTGCAATGCTGGCAGCACCCTGGATGGGCCGGCGGTCACACACTCTCACACACACTCACACGCACATTCCCAACAGCAATCATCTGTTGAGCAAGCAGTGCCACTTTAAACCTCAGCACCTTGTTGTTTTATTTGTATGTAATTGTATACTCTTAGCATATTATAAAGTACTGTGCACAAGTCTTAGGCAGTCAAAGAAAATGAGGTTTAAATTATCCTGATGTTGGTGTAAAACTACAATATTCTGCTTGCCAAAGGGTGTCAGCTTAGCCATTTCCAAACCTCTCCTAAAGTCACCCCAGTATATAGACTTACCATCCAAAACATCCATGTATTTTTTGACTCAAACACTATCCCATGTTTGGCTAATCAGTATCTCATTGAGTCATTTAACTAATTAAGTTCTTTAATTAATTGAGCAGGTGGTGACATTTGGCTTGGGTGCCCCTGAGGAGAGGTTTGGGAACTGAAGTGGTGTTCATCTAGCCATCCAACATGATATCAATAACTTTTCAGAGAACAGAAATTCTTATTTTTATTGTTACTGTTCATTTGCATGTATTATTTTTTGTCTGAGCAAATATACATTTACTGCAGGGAGGTACACAAGCAAAGTATTTCACTGTACTTGTACTGTATGAATGACAATAATCCTTGAATCCAGTTGCGCACTATAGGCAATTCAGAAACCCCACACACAGGTGGGACCACCCCCCCCCCCCACCCCCCCGCACTCTTACTGACACTGTAAAGAAAGAGGCAGCGCTAACTGTCACTGCCGCTACGGAGCTCGTACATCTCAGCTTCCGACCAAGAAAATGCCGCGTTTTCAAGTCAAGTCTCTCTGTCCTCGCACCTGAAACATCTGAGTGAATCTCAAGTTCCACCCCATCCTCTGCATATTTAACTCCCCCCCCCCCCTCCCAAGAGTGTCATAGTCAGCTACTTTTTGAAAGGGATAGCATTTCTTCAGGAAACTGCTTCCAGGTTAGGGTCAGATTGACCCGTGGAGATGTTCGGTATCTGTGCATTTTTGAGATGGTCAACCCCGCAGCTCATCCTAAAGAAGCCGCCCAGACTATGCAAAGATCACATGTGGATCTCTGCTCTGGGACTCCTGCTTAGACACGAATGCAGCGGCCTGCCCCCACCGCGGCCTGCCCCCTTAGTGGCCCACAATAAAATACTCTACTATACCGCACAAATTGTGAAAACAGCTATTCCATGAAAAAGTCATTAATACGACTTTATTTCACATCGAATACTTGCTTCAAAAAAGTCTCGAACAGCATCACACTTAATGACTGGTCCACCGGGCGATAGAAACAGCCAATCAAACTGCGACTTTGAAATAACGGGCAGCAAAAGCAGACACTCACGGTTTGCTCTTGCAGGTGCTGCTGGTCAAACATGGCCGAGTCCAGCGACAGCCCCCTCCTGGCCCAGTACTTACTGGAAAACATCATCATGGCCGGCTGCATGCTGGCTGCTCTGTGTAGGCGCTCCTTCTGATGAAGCTCGGATGAAGTTCTATCTGATCATCCGGCGAGAAGGACCCCGCTCCCTCTGCACGTGCCTGTCAGGAGCAGACTCGTTTTATATAGCGTCCCACAGATGCTGATAAGGCCCAGGGCGACAACCACCCCCTCCAGTAGCTGCTAACCAGGCAGTGACTCAC